TGTATTCAAAATTATACCATCTTGACTCATCCGGTGTGTGATTTATTTATAGCCTACTGTTTTCTCTCTTTTTTTTCCTTCCCAAAGAAGGCCGGATTTGAAATTTTATTAAAAACTCCCATCCTGTGGATTTATAGCTGGGGGTAGCTGTTTTACCCGATTGCCATGTAGAATTGGTATTTACTAGGAAGGGTACGTTGATTCAGGAGGCTGTCTGTGGCGTGTTTGCCCCGTGAGGGTCATATGAAACTCGAGAGAAGCTTTTTGAGCAACATGGCATCCTGGGGACAATATATCAAGCAGATAGATAAAAGCCCCCCCCCAGCTTGGAAACCAGGCTTGGAGTTATGACCTGTTCCCAGTTATTGCTTTCATGCAAAGGGGCCTCCGAGGAAATGGGCCCAGGGTAAAAGGGGCCAAGCAGAGAAAAAGAAGGGCTTTCGGGAGAGAAAGGCGAGCAGGACTCACGGAGGACGGGTATGTCTCTGCAAATGTGCTGCCGCTCTGTATAAGCGAAGTGTAAGAGAATTGATAAACATGTTGTTTCCTAGCTGGGCAGAAGAGACTAGCCGACACTTCGACATTCTAGAGGACTTTTCAGAACACTCCTTTCCAAATCTCGCCACAGTATTGTAATTTCATGCACTGAGGAGTTTTAATACGCATGTTTTGTTTTCGTGTTGATGACTTCGAATATTTCCTCATAGTTCAATTAATGGCATATCCCTCAATATAGAAGAATTAGATAAAATAAAACATAAGGGTTATGATTTTGTGTTACATCTGGTATATCTCTTAAATGTTAATTTCTGCCTATTTCTGTAGCATTCATTTTGTATATCTGCAGTTGTTGAAAATTGACTGGAGAATATGTATTGAGTGAAACAAAAACCATGATTTGAACTCTTTGTGGTCTCATCGAATTTCAGGCCCAAAGTCCTCAGCAATGGATGTGTTCCCACCAAAGACTTGAGGCTGTGCTTGAACTGAGTGTCCCAGTCATCTGGCTGTGTTTGAACTGAGTGTCCTAGTCATCTGGCTGTGTTTCCTAGCCATGCCATGATCTCACTAGGACAATGACCCCCTTCTGCTTCCTGCTTCTTAAGACATCCAATGCACCCACACTCTTTGGTATCACCGGAAGCCTTTGCTTTTGACTTGCTGGGTGAGAAAAAGAACTCCAGGGGAAGGCTAGTACTTACCATTTACCAGTCACCAGCTAACCCACTTCCCTGCATCTCTGTAGATGCGAGTTTCTGTCCCGCCCGGTACCATGGCTGTTCAGTCCCAAATAAACACAGAGACTTTTATTAGTTATAAACTGTTTGGACAATGGCTCTGCCTTCTTATTGGCTAGCTCTCTCTTAATTATTAACCCATTTATATTAATCTATGTATTTCCACATGGTCTTGGCTTGCTGGAGAAGGCCCAGACAGCCTACCTTCCCAGTTGGTACACGGCATCTCCTCGACTCTACCTACTACCTCCTTCTATCCCTGTTTGGATTTCCTGCCTGGCTGTTCACTCATGTAAAGGTACCAGCGTGTCTTTCTGTCTTCACACAAGAGATTTCCTCTGTCAATTACTCTCTCTTCTCTCACATTATTGTCTGCCTCTCACTAACCCCCACAGGCTTTTAGTGTACTCTTGCAATAATCAAACTTAGTTCCTTTTCCCGTTGCTAGGAGACAACATTCTGGCAAATGCAACTTCAGGGAGCAAGGGTGTGTTGTGGCTCATGGTTCAAGGCACAGTTCATCACCATGGGGAAGTTGAGGTAGTCAAAGCTTGAAAGTGCTGGCCATATCTCATCCACAGCCAAAACGCCAGAGAGCAGTGAATGTATGCTGGCTCTCCCTTTCGTGCAGTCTGAGATCCCTGTCCAGGGTGTGGCTCTGCCTACCATTAAGGGTATCCTCCCATATCATTAGCCTAATCAAAATAACTGCCAGCACACATACCCAGAGACCCATCTGCCAGAGGACTCTCACTCTGTCAAGTTGAAGATTTATCCATCGCATGTGCCCATCAGATGCCTGGCTTCACACCTGCCACAGACCTTGCCTGGTTGTCAGGAATCTCGCACTGCTGCTCTGCGCATGTGCTCCCTCAGTGTAGCTGTCAAAGGCCACTCTGTCTGCCCAGGCCCTACCCCATTCTCCTGTCAGCCTCCTCACAGCAGTGCGTCGTGAGCTCTTCGCCTTCATGTTGTCCTGGCAGTGCCACCAAACAACTCTGGTCACCAAATACAGAGTTTCACTGCTGGCCCGTAGTCGACAGCACTCTTGGCACAGGAGATCAGCCCTGCCTTCCTAGCTCAGAACCATCTCTTAGCTTTTCTTCTACTCCCTGAACCCATATTGTGGATGGATTCTCGGGCTCAGGTTGTAGCCTTCCTCTGGACTCTCCCCCTCCGCTCTCAGTGACTGTTAACTTCACAAGTCTCAGTCTAAAACGCCGTATCTCCATCGATCCATCATTTCTACCCAGATATCACAGATCTGTGTCACTCCCCAATGACCTGTGGCCCCCTCAATACCTCTCAGCTTAGGAATGACAACACCAGTCATTCAGTTGTCTGGACTGAATATAGTAGCATTGCCCTTGACTTCCTAACACACTCCTGACTAGGTGGCAAAATATCCCCCCACCTTCATCGTTACTGCTGAAATAAGTCATTGTCACCTTGTGCCTGGCTTATCTCTCCCCTGTCCCCATTCCCACACAGTGGTCCTTTCGAGTTTTTAGTCACACTGTTCTGTTCCCTTTACCAAACACTCTGTCCCATTTGGGAGGAGATGCTGAACCCTTCCTGAGACTTTGAATGTCACTCAGGAGGGAGTCCTTGGATACTGCATGCCCTCTGCTCCAGCCACACTAACCTTTCAGCTGCTCTGTGACTACAGTCAGAGCTTTCTGTGCTCTCTGACTCCCTTCTGTCCTCCGGCTACAGTGCTCTTCACAGACACCACCATGGATGCCTCTCACGTTCCACTAAGGTCTCCATCCAAACATCATGCAACTACTTGTCCTTCCTATCAGCTTCCTACCCAATGTAAAACACCATCAAATAAAGTTTCCCACCCCATTCATCTCTCAGGCTGCTGCCGCTGCATTTTGTTTGACATTGGTTTATTTATTGGGTGGCCGGAGGCCCATATACCTGGAGGCCAGGTGACAACTTATAAGAGTCAGTACTTTTCCCTCACCACGTGGTTCTGGGGATCAAGCTTGGCTCATGAAGCTCAGCACCTCACTGGCCTCCTGTTGTATAGGCTTCTGTTTAGGGTTCAATTCTCCAGGCATCTCATCATCCTGTGTCCCTTCCTACATCTTTCTATTACCTAGTCTCCCTACTTACCCACAAGCTCACCAAGGGAGGTGCCTGTTTCACTCCGTGCCACTTCCCCTCCACGGGAAGAACCCTGCTTAACGCAGAGCAGAGCCTCCATAAATGTGTATTGAACAAGTGGATGAATTATTGATGAACTCAAAGCCCTTACCGAAGATTGATGAAACATGTAATCTAACTCTTCCCTTCTCTTCATTGCCCATTCATTAGCTTCATGTTCACAGGCGGGGTCTCCCACACTGGAGAGCACATAAAATCCACATACTTTACAAGGAGAAATATATATATATATATATATACATATATATATTGTTAATGTTAAAAGTGGACCCTGATACTTCATTTGTTTTCATTATAGTAATAACATTATATTACTACAATGTTAGTAAACAACCTTAAATAGCATGAATTAATAAGTAATATTATAGTCGTAATTAAGCTATGCTAGGGGAAGTTAAATTCAAATGTAGTGGTAACAGTGATGACAATGGTGGTGATAATAATTCCTAGAGTCAAAAGCAAGGTACTCTGTTGATGTATACTGCGATTTTTGTGCCTATCAGGGGAAAATATCCCTGAATTAAAGTTAAGAAAACATATGCTTGGAGTCATTGGATGATCTCCCTGAAGCCTCAGAGCTCTGTTTAATCTGTTTTTGGGATTGTGAAAAGTTTTACAACAAATGATATGAGCAATTCATTCAAATACTTTTTTTTGTTTGTTTTGTTTTGTTTTGTTTTGAAGACAGGGTTTCTCTGTATTGCTTTGGAGCCTGTCCTGGAACTTGCTCTGTAGATCAGGCTAACTTCAAACTCACAGAGATATGCATGCCTCTGCCTCCTGAGTGCTGGAATTAAAGGCGTGCACCACCAACGACCAGCTGATTCATTCAAATTCTAATTGTTGGGAAAAGGGAAAATTAAATAATAGTCCTGTCAGGTTTTGCTTTTTTTGGTTTTGTTTTGAGAAAAGGCTTTATTTTTACTCGTTCCCGCTGTGCCCACAGAAACTTTCCAATGGGATCTCTCAGGTGGTGTTAGTTGGCTGTGTTTGAGTGAGGACAGAACAGTGTAAAAGCCATCAGACTGTGGGAGGCACACTGAGGAAGGGGCTTAGTGTTCATATTTTCTTGGGAAGACTCAAGACCGGAACGTGTCATCGCTACAGATAAATAAGCACAACGTTGGCAAGCTCCTTATCCCTCAGAAGGGAAGGAACCAAGTCCTCTGTACCCAGTTAATGTTAGTGGTACAGCGATGGGGACCACAGGTGACATGAAGACCCAACCGGCTTCGGTGCCCAGTCTGCTTAGGAAGGGCTTGAATGAAAGGCACTCAGTGTTTGCTCCGCCAAATTCCCTCCGTGCTTGCCGTTAGACGAATACAAGTGCATGTGGGGACGTACTTGTGCTCCTTGTCTTGAAGCTGGGGGCTGGCTTTTAAGACTGAAGCGCTGACGTCACTGTGGAGAGAAGACCTGGAAGGCGGTACAGCGCTTCGGGAATGAAAATGTTAAGTCAAATGGACCGTGCTTAACGCCGCTGCTGATCCTGAGGAACAGTTTTCCAGTGTGCAGAGCATTTCCCCTCCACCCAGCATATGTCCCCCATAGTTTTCTCTGCTCTAATTCATCTGTGTTTCCCGACAGCTCCAGATGGCCTGCTGTCTCCCAGGCTTTTATCTGCCACTCCAACCAGTCTTCAGGTTGTCCGGTCTACACCAGCTCGCAACAACGCTCCAGGCTCTCCCACCTACCCGCTCCAGATGAGACCAGGCCCCTCCACCCACGGCATTCTAGAGTGAGCATTCCACCTACTGCCTCTTCAGATGGGCTGCCTTAGACAATGTCCACGTGCTCTGAGTGTTCCCGTAAAAATGAGAACCAAAGAATAGACCAGTTCTTATGTGCAACAAAATTTGGGTATCTTTTTAAAAGTTCCAACAAAGGAAAACATGAGCAAACAAATTAGTGGATATACATTTGCTTTACAAAAAGAAAATCTAGTGTTTGTTTACATAGCATGGAAAGTAAGATTTTCTCACAATTCTTTAAGCCTTCCATGAATACAAGGAACACACCTGTCACTGGTAAACTGGGATGAACTGTGATGACCCTTTACCAACTGCTGTGTAATGTCCTCATAGCAGGCTCTGTCCTTGCAAACAGAATTTGTCTTCTGTAAACAAGGAGAACATATTCTCTCCCAATGGCTATTTACTCTGAAGTAGATATAATATGATGGCCTGAAATAGCATTACTTAAATCTGTGTTGGTATCTCTGAACACTTTTTGCAGTATGATTTCACTGATTTTTTTCTCTGTTTCTTTGTTTTATTTATTTGAATGTCTAAACCTTCCTAATGGGCATTTCTTTCCCACACAGATTATTCCCGGATACCTTCTGCATCGTTAAGCTATGAAGTGAGTGATCTCCAGCCGTTCACAGTGTATGAATTTCTGTTGGTTGCCACCAATGGCTTTGGCAGTACACGGAGTGCTTGGACTCCAGTCATGACTGCAGAGGACAGTAAGTAGGCCAACTACTCAAAGTCAAACATCAGCTACAAAAGGGATTCTTAACTGCCTTGTGTTTCTCAAAACAAGGAAATAAGCCCCTCCAAATGTCTTGTCATAGGGTGGCAATATCTCCTCCAGGGTAAGAAGGGAGAGTAGTAGTCTGGTCAGCCATGGTCAGTCTCTACAGAATGAAGAAAATTGTGGACCCCAGAGGATGGAGGGTTGGACCCAGAGACAGGAAGAAGGAAATGTCATAGTCAGTTATGGCATGGCTGTGGCCTGTCCTTCGGGATACAGGGTACTCTAAAAAGGACGTGTTGTGCTCTTCTGCTCCTTGGCCAAGTGTGACATGCTTTGGGGGGACTTCTGGAAGGCAGGTGGAGATGTGATGTTGGTTGCAGCATGAAAGTGCTTCACTTAGTGCTGGAAGCAGCCACCACCCTACTTTGATACATGGACCAAAGGAAGCCTCTGGGATAGTTGGGTGGAGCATGATGGTTATGGAAAATAAAGTTAGATTCATCCAATTAACTAACAAAGAAGTCTTTATTTTTTTCATTGAAAATAAAAATTATAATTAATTGCATTTAAGAAATAAGCACGTGGACATAACATTTGGTTTTAAATTAACTACATCTACCGAAGCAAAAATATTAAGACAGGTATAATTTTTTTGTCTGTTTGATTTTAGTAAAATTGTAAATGGGATCAAACTACTAGGGGAAGGAGACACTATTTTTGAACAGTGGGCTTTGGGGGTTCATCCTGTCAAGTCCTTTAATCACAGAATTCTAAGCAGTCATTGCTCAGTGCTCATTTGCCATTCTGGTTTTATAGCCAACAAGCACAGGAGTGACCTGCCAAACATCTAGCCATCAACACAAAAGTATAATATTTAAGACAATACAAATTTTGTATTAAGGAGATTATTTTATTTTGTAATCTCCACAATGACTTTAAGTACTTAGTGATAAGACATAAAATGTGACTGAATCAACACAATTTTATATCTTTAAAGTTCATTGTATTTTTTTAAATGCCATTCCAAACAATATCAATAGTTCCACCATTCCTTCCAAATCTTAATTACTCTGGGAATCAAGTTAGACAATTTACATGGGTGCATCAATTGTTTTTGTTCCAGGGTGCCACTCCAGATATCACCAGTACAGAGGAGAAATGCGCCCAAGTCGATGTGTAACCTTCAGGGAGAGCGTTGCACACATCCTAGGAAATGAGACCTCATAGTCACCAGTGGTATTCAGGGTTATGGACTGGAAAGCTCACATTCAAAATAGATTTTTTTCAGGAGGCATTTAAAAAATGAAGATGGATGTTTAATCTCCTTTAAAAAAATACCATGCTTGGTGTCACTCAATAAAGATTAAGTAAAAATGACTATTCAACCCTCTGCAGAGGTAATGACTCAATTGAGTGCCACATATGTAGAAGGCGGAAGAGGATGTCCTTTGTTTTTTGGGGGGTCTTCTCCTCGGCAGCAATCTGGTCACAATCCTTACTGAATGGTGGGTGGCCACATCTTGCTGTCCACAGGTAGGAAAGTAGTACAAATGCCAATCAAAGCAGCTGCCCATTGTCCATTAGTACAGTACTGTTTGTTGATCAGATTGGTCTCCCATCACCTCTTGTTATAAGACTAATCTTGTAGATTGCAGGTGGCTAGTATTTTTGTGCAGAGACCCTGCCATCTTGGTAACATGGAATGAGTGCTCCTTCCTCACTTCCCTTAAGAACAAGTAATATCTGATAATCTAACAGGTGTCAACTTTGCTGTGAGAGGAATGGAAAGCTTTGCATATACACTAAGTCACACGCATTAGCGGAGAGCTGCAAGGTAGCCATGTGCCCCTGCAAGACAAGTGCCCAGTGCACACTCACCCCTGGGACATGGTGACAGTATGCTATATATTTTAGATGTCAGTAGAGATGGCTACTATCTCTCAAAGGATGTGCAATTGAATTGACAAAGGCTGAATGATTGGCACTGGGCACAAGCAGTTTTTCTGTCAAGGTTATGGAGCGTGGCTTATAAAGCTACCCATGCTGACAGATTCATATCCAGAATCACCCTTCAACTTTGGCACCTCCTGTTTACTGGAGTAGCTATCAGTGGGGTTCCCATATCATCGTATAGAAGGAAACAGAGAAGTCATCTCATGCCTATATTTGAATTCCATGCTATCAGCAGGAGCCTCTTTCGTTCCGTCACAGACACGAAACTACCTGTTGTATAGGTAGGTTACCCATGGCAGAATTTCTCATGTGGTGTTTTGAGGCATTGATATTCATCAAAATCGTGGCAGGAAGAGAGACCTGTGAAAGAAGTCCTTTCCTCACTGAGATTATGTTAGACCTAGGAGCATGTCGTCCCAACAGTAACACCTAATGGCTCATAATTCTGGTATCATGTGTGTCCAATACTCTAATGTTACAGTGACCACACACGTCTTCTGTTTTCATGACTCTGTGCCATATGTGAATGTAGAAACTGTAGCTCTGGGGATCAGGTTTCTTGAACCTCTGGTGAGATAGGGTTAGCATCTTTTGCCTGTGAAAAATTTGAAACCGGAGAAATGTAGGCAGTAATGAACTTCACCCTCAAAAGTCAGTCCTAGGGTGTGGAGAGATGTCCTCCTGCACAGAAGCTGTGAGGCATTTAAATGAGGTTTTTTTCAAATAATTTGACGTTTACATCAGAGTGCCACCAATATGCAGTTCCATGCATTTTTTAAAATCTAGGGTACAGATACCACATAATAATGATGCACCCTCCTATGAATATTTCAAGTCCTATTAAACATGTGTTAATAAAAGATGTTTGTTGCACCCAGCTTGGGCAGTGTAGTGTTCAAGCACCTGTGGCCAGATCAAAGCAAACAACATACAAATTTTTTTAGTCTGTTAATAGTAGGCCAAGTAGCTGACATGTCTACAGCTTGCAAAACTATGTAGTGATTACATTAGACTCAGATGAGTATACTTAATATAGTAGGTAGAATAAAGACACCTAGTAGCTGAAAATATTTTCTAGTCTGTGTGTGTGTGTGTGTGTGTGTGTGTGTGTGTGTGTGTTGCATATACTATAGAAGGAAGAGGTTGGGTGTCATTCCTCAGGAAATGCCATCCCCCCTTTTGTTTAACAGTCTCTCATTAGCCTGGGACTTGCCAAGTAGGTTAGGAAGCCTCCACCTGTCTCTGCCTCCCTGGAACTGGAATTACAAACACATGGCACCAAACCCAGATTTTATTAAGTGGAATTAAGCATCAAACTCAGGTCATTGTGCTTGAGAAGAAAGCCATCTCCCCTACCCAAAATGTTGATATTTCTAAGCCATACGCAATGGTGTCCCTTAAGACTGTAGTAATTTTACAGCTCCCATACACTGACAGCTGTTTTGTGTATAGTATATGAATGTAAAAATTGTAGTTTGTGTCATGGTTCTGTGAACATCAGTCTAAATATGATAACAGATCAGCTTCTCTTCCTAAAACCCAGCCCCATGTAAAATATGAGTTCATGACTTCGCCATTGGCAGACAGTCTGCTTCTAATAGAGTTTTCCAGGTGAAGAGACTGAAATATTGAGTTATATTTAGACTGAAATGCTTAGGGTTTTTTTTTGGTCAGTTTGACAAAATTATATCCATAGACTCTAAGCAATGTGATCAACTAATGAAATTGTTTCCTAAAAACCATTGCTAACCTCTAAACAAAACCTCAAACAACTGATTTGATGATCAGACATTTTAAAGAATTTGGCCATTACCTGAAACTTGAGATTTAATATTTCCCATTTATGTAACTTTGAAGATTGATTTTGAATTGTGTGTGTGTGTGTGTGTGTGTGTGTGTGTGTGTGTGTGTAAATATTTACAGGTGAGTACAGGTGCCCACAAGGTACAGGATCTCTCCCAGAGTTAGTGCTTCAGGCAGCTGGGAACCACCCAACATGGGTGCTGGGAACTGAACTGAGGGTCTCTGAAAGAATGGTGTGTGCTGAGCCCTCTCCCTCACCCCAGCCATAACACACACTTAATATTGTTAAGAATAAATCTAGGTGGCATTACTAAATAACATTTTGGAATCTGAGCAGTTTATTCTGAGGGATCACATAGATATTTTTCATATTTGTTAGTTACCTTGCTAGATCATTATTCATGAGTTTGTCTTCAGTGTGATAAAAAAGATACATCGCCTTACATGCGCTATGTTATTTCGTGGCCATTAGCATATTTTGGTGACGGGTTGCATCAAACCTAGGATTTTTTTGTAATTTTATAATTGCATAAAGTGGCTGCTTCCGTTTCCTGCTGTTGCTCTGACAAAAATCATAACCAAAAGCAACTGAGGGGAGTAAGCTACTCCCCGGCTTAGTTTCCGGTTCACTTGTGGGTGCGTGCTTAGCTGGTTTGTATTTTGATTTGTCCAGCTTGCTCCTTTCCGTTATAGACATTCATAAGAGTGACTACTTATGACCACATAGCGGAGTCGTATTAGGCTGTCCTGAGACCTCGGCCAATGCTGTTAATCCAAAACTCTTCACTCATTTTCAACCATAACCTCAGAAAACCATGTTTTCCGAGGTCAATTAAATAAGTATCTGGAAGAGATGGTCTGGAAGAGCAGCCATGGAGGTGAGGAAAAGAGCACCGTGAGCAGGGCTGAGGGGTTGGCGACACCCATCTTAACCCAGGCGTAGGCTTTTCTGAATGTATGGCTGCATTCCTGACCCTTAGGCATTTACGCTGTGGGTCTATGCTGCTTCCCGCGTCCACAAAGCATGTTTTATTTGCAGCCACAGATGGTTCGAGGAGGCACCCACTGCTGTTCACCTCACCCTCCGCCCCAGCTCGAGATAGGCAGCCATTCCTCCTGACCTCCGCTCATGCTGGCCTCAGGCGAATGGGGAGCAGAAGGCCCTTGGTAGTGGATCTCTCACCTGAAGGCGGTGGAGCACTGCCCTTTCCATGCCAGCAGCCTCGGAGTTTCCCTTCCCTGCATCCTGCCAGGAGCTGAGAGTTGGCTCTGTGCAGGTCCTCAGTTCATGCTCTGCACATTTGTTTTGGGGCTACTCCCTCGTACCATCTTCATTATTGCAGCACGACTATTCCCTTTCCGTTATTGGTCTTCTTGCATTTGGCTCTTTTATTATTAGCTGTCAAAAATTCTTTGGGGAAGTTGTTGGGTATAAATAATAAATTGATAAAAGAATTCATGATTAAAAAGAAGACAGGTCGCCATTCTCTCAGCTAAGACATCAGTGAATTGCTTGGTTACATTAACTTCTGGCATGTGATGTATAGCTTTGTAAGGGCCCATCCATATACTAACAGCCCCCTCCCCCATAGTTTTTAGTTCACTGGTTATTAGGGGCTGTCCACTTAGGAGTTGGTATTACTGAAAAGAGTTTGTTCTTTTTATGAGAATGGTAAAATATTAACTTGAGGACAACATTTTGGACTTTAACAAGAGAACCTATCAACCATAGCAGACAAGTGTGAAAGACGTTTCAACCCAAACCTCCGAACATCACGTGTACCCTGCAGTTGGGACCCACTGACAGTGTTGAGCCCGTGCACACAAGCCTCTCTCCAACACGCACACCTGAGATAATTATGAAAAGTCCCAAGCCCCTTTCCTAACAGGGTCGTGACTCTCTGGCCAGCTGGCGCTGCACGTTACTGGTGAGGCGAGCAGTTGCCCACAGAGATCATGCCATTTGCCAAAATAAGACTGCCTTCTGGTTATTAATGCTAGGACTAATTCATCGGAAACAGGAATCTGATTTGACCAGAGAGGAGGCTCCTGTTCCTGGCTCCAGGGGGGTGTGCTCTACACAATTACACCCTTGGAGAGAGCTGTTGCCTTATATTTTCATCACTGGGCGGCTGAGCCGTGTGCCTGCCCAGACTTCCCCATCTCCCCTCGAGTGACAGCGGCATTGACAACATGTTATACTCCACATTGATTTTACAGTTAAGGAGCTGATTGTGATGTATAGGGGTTTTACGAATTCAGCTGAGAGGCCGACTTTTGCCTTTTATCATTCCATTAAAATTTTATAACCATCTTTTTCATGTCATTTCACCCATGAATTCTTACTTTAGAAAGTGATAGCTACTGCGGAGAACGTAACTTTCCTCATGTTCACGGCTTTTTATTGTATTAGCCAACTACCCCAATTATAGTTATTACCCGTGTTTTACATAATTGTGGTGACCCTTTCAACTGCGTAGCGGCAGGACAGTTGATTTGTATACAGAATTAGATGATCCTGTTTATCATTTTAAAGCAGCAAATGGAAAGAGCCGCCAGAAGTCAGACTTTAACACTTCCCTAGCCAAAGGAGCTAATTAAGCCTAGTTCTGTTCCTCAGCAGAGGAAGCGGGCAGCGTGGGGAGCGATTCTCGGGCTCCCAGAGAGAGAAGCTAATAAAATGTATTCTGACTTTGGTTGGGGGGGTCATGAATTTGAAATTGAATGCCTCCTCTCCCCAAGATAAGAGGTCATCTTTAAGGAAGGGCTGTGTTCTGTGGGAGTTTGAAGTGCAAGTTCGCCTCATTATCATGGATGTTTTACCTATCACACTATCAGCATCTTGTGGAGAAATAAAAGGCTTTATTCTCATCACAGAGAACAAACTACATCCTGGTTGGTGCTTCTCCCTGAAGAAGCTCGTGGTATGATACCTCACAGAGGAGGAGGGAATAATTATGCGAGACCCTGATGAAAACCTGCTGGAAACATCCTGGATTTTAAGTGTATATTATTCTTTACTGGGGAGAGGGGGTGAGGCAGGATGAGGCTAAGGACTTGAAACTCTGCCACTGATTTTACATGATTCCGTATCAGAGGATTATTTTTTCTAAGATTTCAAAACAGCATTTAGAACTTGCAAGGCTCTCACTTTTCTCTGGAAAATAACTAAACTTGCATGACACCGCTAGCTGAGGACGGAGCCATACCCCCATGTTAGTACGGTAACTGCTTCTGTACCTGTGTGCTGGAGAGGCAAGAAGAGATGTCACAGAGACATTCAGGGGACTTTAAAGTGAAAGCCAGCGTCAGGCCAGCCTGGGGAATGCCCACACCTGCATCACTATGACACTGGGATCTGTCTGTCCCCATAAAGGATGTATGACCAAATTGTCGAAAATGGCTTCATTCTAGGCCCCTTCAAAAAACGAATTATGATTCTACCACCAGTCCAGTTGGTGACTAAAACTTGGTCCATTCTGCTTGAAATGTCCCTTAACTAGCTATTACCACAGCCACTGACTTCACAAGTCTGTGGCTGCCTTTAACACTGAGACCTCAGTGGGACACTGAATCGCACATTCACACTCAAATCAATGCTGTTTTAAACAATTACTAAATCCAACTATATCTTTTTAAAAGATTTTCAATAAAATCTAATGTTCACAGAAAAAAATCTCATAAATGTCAAAATTGCTGTGGGCAGAAAAGAAGGCTATAGTATTTTTTTTTTGATCTGTTGTAGCAATTTATAGATCTCAGGCCATGGTTTATAAGAATGCTAAATGTTCTGGAATTACAGCTGTTACTGATCAGTGATTGAGCCAGATTTGTGTTATTGCGCCATGTTCTTGCTTGTACCTAGAGAGCAGTAAAGCCGCAATATAATAAAAAGCACCTGCATTTTAAATGAAATTTCAATTGAAAAACTTAACAGCCCTTCAAATTGCAGAATTTAACGCAGCCCAGTAAAGCTTAAATAACACTTTGCCTGGGCGGGCTGAGGGGATTCGCATTCAAGGTGACTTGATTGTGTCGCATGGTGAAATTATTTACAATTAAGGAATTTCTCTAGAGGACTGCAGAGTGCTTGCCGCCCCCCACCACCACCTCAGCAGGCATATGGTGGGCCTTTTTCAGTATTCATGGGGCCTCCCGAACCTTTATGATAATTGAATCAGTTAGAGTGCTGAGTGGAGCAGGCGTAAAACCTGTTAACCTAAAGGTCAGATCTGTGCATTGTTTATTTATCAGTAGGTGAAGGAGCTAGATCATCGTCAGCTCTGCCACAGGCCCAGTAAAAAAATCACCGATAATATTAACAGGGAGTAGATAAATCGCAAAACATGGATTAGCATGATAAACAGAGGCAGCGTCCTATGGAATGTATAATGAGGGACAGACGCTGTCAACGGGTCTGTTACGGTAGTGTTGTTGGTTGTAATCAGTACAGGGGACCTAAGGGGTGTGAAATGGGGCCAAAGCCCTCTAGAGCTTTGGTTAAACTATCAGCGTGTGTGTTTTTCTCCTAACGCCTTGATTTAAAATAGTTTTTAAAGTCGTTATGCTATTTTCCAGCATTAGCTTTTGCCAGAAGAAATGATGTCGATGGGTCTATGTTAGGGAGGAAGGGACGGTGTCAACTCAGTCGTACTCCACAAGTATTTCACATACCATGGTGAGCAGGGAGGCCACGTACATCTGTACCCTTTGCCTGCTTGTCTCTGGTCTCTACAGAGTGCTCATCCATTTGAGTTTCATTGCCGAGGATACACGGGGAGTTGGGAAGGTGCGAGACTTCCTGGCTGTGTTCTTCTTTACAGAGCCTGGACCAATCGATGCTCTGGCTGTTGTGAATGTGAACTCGACAATGCCTGTAAAGTGCAATGGGGTTATTACCCATTGCAACATCCACCAGCAGCCTCCAGAAATGTCACTAACTGCACTGTGGCTCATCTACACCCTCACACAGCCTATCAATTCCAGGTAGACACCTGCACCTCCAAAAGGGTGTTCCAGGTCACCAGAGTCTCAGACTGTGTGGACACTCCCGGGAACACCGGAAGGCATCCCAAGCACAGAGCTGTTCCCATACACTCCACCATGTGTCGTCGAATCTTGGCAATCCCCAGCTAGCCCCAGTGGCTTGATTGAGAACTTTACAATCCAGAGGCGAGTCAAAGGGAAAAGGAAGTTAGGAGCTTAGCGACTGTCCCAAGAAGTCATGCCATGAAGTTTATTGATGATGATCCTGTCCTCAGCCTTTGGACACAATGTGAATACAGGTTCTGGGGAGCATGCTTAATGGAGGCACAAGAAGCAGTGCGAGGGCAAAAATTGCAACGAGACCCTCCCAGCCCGCAGGAGTACAGCCTCCAGCAGGAGTACAGCTGCCCACAGGAGTACAGCCTCCAGCAGGAGTACAGCCGCCCGCAGGAGTACAGCCAGCCCTCAGGAGTACAGCCGGCCAGGGTGCATGTGCTGGGACCAGATGCCTTCAAGGCAAGGCAGGGGCTGGGTTTTCTGACTTCTCTGCAATCCTGCACATGCAGGGACTTGCCCTGGATGCACTCTGTGTCAAACAGAGCCATCTACTGACAAGACTAACACATTTATTGTCTTAGGCAGTTGCTGCCGAAACTGGGTTTTTGGCCTTTAGCCCAAACTATCCTGAATTCAATGTCAGATTTTCATTTCTCCCTGAATCCCCTTAATGATATTGTTGAGAGACTGCTATTTGCCTCGCACACATGAAATACTTTGATGCCACCGTGGGATGCTCAGCCTCAGGACCACGGCATTTTTAAACAGATCAGAAAACGAGAAGAGATGGGGAGGCTAATGGAAGGATTGTGGAGCATGTTAACAAACAAAAGGTCCGCACTGGAGTATTCTGGCGTTCTTTTGAAAAAAATCAAAGAATTGAAATGATGGGTGAAGAAATTAAGAAAATAGCGTATTGCTGGGGTATCCAGAAAGCTCAGCTGTTTGCCTCATGCTTTGGGGACTGAACTCTGGAGGATGGGATAACTACCATTGTTTTGGCTGGCATACAAACTTCATTCAAGGGAAATTAGTGTAACCAAACAGGAGGGAGTTTTGCAGCTTAGAAGCCTCTTCTGTGTAAATACACACATGCTTCCACGGATCCAGCCTTGTAACACTGCCAAAAGCCTCGGTACAGTAGCTTGCTCACCAGAGCACAGAGCAGGGCGTTTGCACAACAGCAAAGTTCATCTGTCGGAATTATTACTTGGACCCAGGCTGTGTTCGCTCGCCAATGAAAGGGCGGGCACTAGGAGAGGCTAGATAATTTAAATCTTTGAAGAAAATTCATCTAACCCTCTGACTAGAAGTGACTGCCAGGTTTTTTTTTTTAATTTGGTCTCTGAAAAATTAAACAGTCAGAATAATCTTAATTATCTCCTATCTGAGAATTGTTAAAGCAACACAGTTTTGGGTAAAAAAATAAGTAAAGCATATGGAATTCTGTTGGTTTAACACTAATGGGATTTAATTTTTACATACAGCATGTGCAATGTTTGTTGTATGAACTGCAAAAATCATAAGAACTTGTCTTCAGTTAAGTAAAAAGCAAAGCAAACAAGCAAACCTAGAATCAGTAGTCAGTGCGGAACTGACTTACCTCTGGAGGAGTAGGCAGTGCAGAACTGACTTACCTCTGGAAGAGTCTTGTGGGGCTTTGGTGAAGTGTTGGTGGATGGCCTGTCACATGGCATACACAGTCCCTTCAAAAAGGCAGCAGCTACACCACAGACACTCTTCTGATTCTTTCTGCCAAGCTTTTAAAACTAGGCATCACCGATTACAGTAGATCAGAAAAAAAATGCATGCGTGATTTCAGATGATAACAGTAAGCCAGCCAAGGACACCAGGATCCAATATCCGGAAGGAGTTAGTCAGCCTTCATTTCCCCCTCTGGAGGCTTGGCACTTGCATCCAGGAAAGAGAGGAGGGTATCCATGCTCTATCAGGTTGCTAGGGAAGTTTTGATCAGCTTGACCAAGGGAGCTGAATCCTGTGGTCATCATCCCCAGCCCATGAAAACCATGGAAACTCCAGGTCAAGTTTTGTTTTGCTTGGGTTTTTTTTCTCTTCTTTGAGGGGAGGGGGACTGTTTGTTTGTATGGTTTTTCAAGATAGAGTTTCTCCAGCTGACAAGGGCTAGCTCTTGAATCCCAGACTGATGGCTGGGAATCCAGCATGGGACTGATCAAGACCCCTTGAATGTGGGTGTCAGTGAGGAGGCCTAGGCAATCTATGGGGCCTTAGGTAGTAGATTAGTATTTATCCCTGGTATACAAATGGGCTTTGGGTGCCCATCCAACAATGAGAGATACACTCTCAGCCTGGACTCTTGGGGGAGGGTCTAGGCCCTGTCCTGGATGAAATGACAGACTATGGACACCCCCATGGAGGGCCTCACCCTCCCTGGGGAATTGAGGGGGCTTTGGAGGGAGTGGGTGGGAGGGCATGGGAGAAGGGGAGGGAAAGGGAAAGGGACCTGGGATTGACATGTGAAGCAACGTTGCTTCTAATTTAAATTTAAAAATAAAAATTTAAAAAATACTGATATATATATACATATATAAAGAGTTTCTCTGTTTAACATCTCTGGCTGTCCTGGAACTCAATTTGTAGACCAGACTGACCTCGAACTCTCAGAAATCCACCAGCCTCTGTTTCCTAAATTCTGGGACTAAAGGCATGTGCCACCACACACGGCCCCAAGTTTTTAGAAAGATCTTGACATATAGACATATGGCAGCTAAGTCATAACTTTGGCTGTCACATCTTCATCAATTCCAATTTTTTAACTAGGAAATGAAATTTACCAATGAAGAGAAGCACAGGGAATACTGAAGAAAATCTTGTGTTTCGTGGAGTTTATATATATATATTTGGTTTTTCGAGACAGAGTTTCTCTGTATTGTTTTGGAGGCTATCGGTCCAGCCCGGCCTCAAACTCACAGAGATCCACCTGCCTCTGCCTCCCGAGTGCTGGGATTAAAGGCGTGCACCACCATCACCCGGCCTCGTGGAATATATTTAAATGTTGTTCAAAGAACACCATTTTGAGTTCGTATTATTGGCTAACACTGTACTTGGAAATACCTTGAAATTTTACCGAAGTGCATTTTTCTAGTGAGATTGCTTCTGGCAAACAGATGCATGTCTGGAAACTGTGACTCCTCTCTGCAAGGACAGATCTGAAAAATCAAAATTGTAAATGGATAAAACACTTATGAGGAATCACAGGATAGTCATTAACGCACGGGTTAAGAACATCATTCAATATTCACCATGAATACTGTTCTAAGCAAATTGTCAATAACATTAACAATGACCACATGTTCTCACATTCGTGGAAGTACATTTATGAATGTCTCCTTTTGACACCGAAGAGAGAGTAGGGCCAAAATAAAGCCCCTCACCTCATGGACCTTAACAAGGTAGACAAATAAGAATAATAGATGCCCTCGGATGGCCAGGATTGGGGGAGGGGAGCAGAATCAGGTTAAAGATAAATAGGAAGCATGGGTCAGTGGGCTGGTCAGTGATGGAAGACACTGAGCTGCTGCCTTACCTATCTTAGTCCTCATTATGCTTCTAGCAAGAGATCAAGCTATGATTAGAGAGAGGAGCTGTGTCAGGTTGGTTCTTGTAGCTTCCAGGATAAGGCTCCATCTAGTGATGTGCCTTCTGCCAACAGCATCCAAAAGCTGCATGGGGCACCATAGGCCGAGAGGAATTTCCTATGTTCTGTAATTTCCTTTGCTCCCCCTCTGGTCCCTCTCCCCATTATAAAGCCACCAGCATGCAGTCATCATCGGGCTGACCCTCATGACCTTATCTCGTTCAGACCCCACCCAAGGTCCCGCTCTAAACACCACAGTCAGATAAACTTTTACCTCTTCACACCTCACGTTGGGGGTGTTTGGTTTGAAAATGAGTTTTTGGAGGGATAACTTGTATTCAAGCCATGCCAGCACCTCTGTTTATCTCTATTATATGTCACTTGCCTGCACTGTACAGTTTCACCAGCAGGGACAGCAAGAGAAGCCACACGAACAGAGGCAACTAAAAGACAAATACAGAGTAGCATATTAAAGTATAAAAAGAGTTGCCACCCATGCCAGCTCTAAGAGACTCCTGTATAAAGATGGCACAGTGAAGTCGTACCCAGGCTTCTGCATGAGCTCAGGGCAGCTTGAGGAACCCTGTCTCAAAGTATGCAAACCTGAGGATGTGATTGGGGGTAGAGTTCTTGCCTGGAATGTAAAAGGCTCTGAGTGTAACTCTTGAACAACTAAAAATAATCACTTAGGAGTTGGTAAAGGCATAAGTTTTAAGATAGGAAAGTGGAGGGCACAGTAGGTCTTAATCATATTCGTAACCTCTGACTATCAGAAACAAAAATCCCAAAGTAGTTATATCGTGTGAAAAATGAAATCCATGTCCTTCCACGCGGTACTTAATTTCCTGAGTAAACCATTGCCTCTTTTAAGGTTGGTAGACAGCTCTAGCAAGACTGAAAAGGGCGGTTCGATAAGGGTATAGAATAACTTCATATTTAAATATCAATCTAAAATCTTCTGAATACAATATTAGCAAATTGAATTAAGCAGAATATCAAAAGAATAATATAATGGGACAAATTTGATTCTATTCCAAGGATGTAAGGGGAGTTCCATACCCTGCTGTCTTTCCCCATGACTCTTATGACAACCAATTAAGGAGAAAGCCTTAATTAATTAAGAAGGCTGGAGAGATGGCTCAGCAGTTAAGAGAACCTACTAAGCTAGCAGGGGACTCCAGTTCCCAACACCCACACCAGGCATTCCATAAATGCTTATAACTCCAGTTTCATGGCATGCAACACCATGTGGTCTCCTTGGACACTTGAACTCAGGTAGTGCACATAAACTCACACAGGCACACACAAAATACAAACAATAGTTTTAAATGGCCTTATAAGGTTTGGAAGGCATTTCTTCATGAAATAAAGTGAAATCAGAATCTAAAAAAGGATTTTTAAATAGGATTCAGCCAACATGCAGATTGCCACAGTTAAGCCTTAGCACAAATGAGAAATAAAAAAATATATATAATGCAGAAATCACCAAACTGTGTATCTGTGCGGCAGCCATCAGAGTCCACTAAGCTCCAGTATAATGTAGGCAGATATGTCCCACCTGATACGATGGAATCTGTGAGATGTTATTCTGTTTTCTGGTGTTTAAATACATTCAGACAGGACAATCCTTTGATTGCAGGTTTAAAAGTTATGCACATATTTCTTATCCTGAGACTAGAATGCATATTTGTTAAACTATAACTATACAGCAGCATTGGGAATTCGATGGTGAATCTCAGAAAATACAAATAATGGCTACCTATCTGCACCTTTGTAAAAGCAACTTCGTCAGCCCACAAGGTTAAAGCAGGGAGCTCTGGGTACGATTTAATTGAGCTATAAACACACAAACTCTCAAGTCCTCATGCTGCCTAACTGATGCATGTGGATGTGTGACTCTCTGCCATGTGTTTGCTCTGTGTCCTTCGGCACACCCACGGTGGAGACAAATCACTACTGTGTGTATTAATCTGATGGTCCTAGAGATCACAGCTAAAAGCTAAGTCCAGAAAGCAGCCTCTGCTCAGTTCCTAGGGTTCATCTCCGTCCTCTTTACCATCTCGAGCATTGGACTAAATTGAATGTAGGCCTTCAGAAAATGACTGGGGCAGACGAGGCAAGCAAAACTCTAGACTTTGTGAACTTCAGTTGCTCTGTTCCTGTGTTGTCACACTGATGCTATTGGTCATTTCTTTCAGGTTATATGGAAAGTCCCACTTACCCAGAATGGAGACATACTGAGTTACGAGATCCATTTGCCAGACCCTCTCATCCCAATCACCAATGTAGCCTCCATGGTGTTGAGTCATCCAATCAAGTGTCTCATTCCTTTCACTAATTACTGTCACCTTTGTTGTGTGCTCCAGAGGGAATGAGTACTTAGGAGGGTGCATAGAGAGTCTACCTACCTCTGCCACCACCCGTCCAGTCCTGCCTCAGGAACTGGCCCCATTGTCTGCGATTCTACTAGGTGAATCTTATGTTGAGATTTCTTGGCAGCCACCATCCAAACCAAATGAACCACATCTGAGGCAGAGAAAATGATTTTGCTCTGGGGGTTTGCTCTTGCTCTATCATTTCAAGAAGCAGAAGAGCAGGATTTTATTAACATTTCAACATAGAGTTAGTTCCATACTCCATACCATACCTACTACCACAAACTCATAATAACCATACAATGTCCCTCTGTTCTTAACATGGTAGCACATTTTATACCTCGATTTAAATGGAACCAAGGGAGTTCATCAGGAAAGAGTGGGAATCATGTTGGGACAGACGGAAACTCTTAAAATGCTTGCCTCATAGCTAAGATTCCCCTTCATTATCCTGCTCTTTTCAAAAAATGCTTCTACTCATTAGGCAGCTCTGGTGCATGTTCTATGTAATGTGGTGGGACAACTGTGTCTGAATTATAAAATTAACCCAGCAGTTGTTTCCATATCACCACTGTCTATAGACTTGTGAAGAATGTTCTCAGAGAGAAGATGGAAGCAAAGAACTGTGATTCTAAGATGACTGTATAGCAGCCAGCACTGAATACTTGGCAGAGAAAACAGAGTGGATAATAGCATCATTATTTATAAAATTTTGATGGACTCTTAGGAAATCACTAACTTGATAAATTTTGTATAGTTTTACTTGGCGTGAAACTTGCAACAAATATTGAGCAAATCTGACACAGATCTAAACTATCACCATTCCCACCAGTGACCAAAAAAATGAGTGTAAATGATAATTTGCAATCAATAGTTAATCCAAAAAAAGTTTATCTGGAAAAATTTAACAATTGTACTAACATATTATTTATGCTTTCATGCATGTGTTACACACATCCTTCAAAACTACCTGAATCTCAGTAATAATGTTAGTTGAGACAATCATGATATTCCTGCTTGTCTTTTGTTTTAGATATGAGCTTCTGAGACGTAAAGTCTAGCAGCCACTTGCTTCAAATCCCCCAGAAGATTTAAATCTGTGGCACAATATTTATTCAGGAACTTGGTGGTTTTACAAAGATAAGGGTCTTAGCAGGTGAGATTACAAAAACTATAAAAACAAATGCTGGCATTTAGTTTGGGGCGTGTTGAGTAGTTCAAAGTAACCCAGCGTCTTCGTTGTGTGAACCTGTTATCAGTCACACAGTAGAATATGTTCAGTTATTATCTGTGGCATTAATCATCGAAGTGTAGCAGAGGCGTGTTTAGTGTTTGCCATCTCAACTGCATGCTTGAAATAAGCCTTTCAAGTCAAGCTTGGAGATGTGTGAGCCTCAAACTATTGCCTTTGTCACAGCTCTATCTAAACATGAAACTCAGTACAGGGATTTGGCAGTACTGAATACACACGGAACTGTAGAGATCAGTGGGTGCCTCCTGTACACGCCTGTGCTCAGGGAGATAACAGGTTGTAAGTCACTGAATTAGGGAGAGTTGAAAGAGTTGCGTCTGGAGTTTAAAGCAAAAACACCAGCCAGTAGTTGGTACCCACCAGAAACACATACCACATGATGAAGTTAGACCTAAACTCCCTTTCATCTCCTGCTAAGGAGCCAGCTTTGTGAGCCGAGGCAAACCTTCCCCATCTCTGGGGCTTCACCAGTAACATCTGTCATTCACAAGACCCAGTGACTTCTCAGTTTTCCCGATCCAGGCAATGTAAGGAAGTTTCAAACCAGATGAACTGTTGTGTGAGCCCCATTCTAAAGCTCTGCCATTCATCACTCGTCCCTCCAGCCTCTGTGTCCCAGACTCTCACTGGACTCACCAAGTACAGGGGGAGAGTTCCCATCTCTGACCCCATTCCTCACCAGGCTCCTTCCTACCATCAGAATTGTCACCCTTCAGGTCTTGCCTATAAGATTCTTCCTCCAGGAAGCTGCCCGTCCCTCTCTTGCTGGTCTGAATAGAAGTTGAAATAAACAGACCCATGGCAGCTAGTTCTAGAAGGATTGTGTAACAAGCAAAATTGTGTTGTGGGATCTCAGTAGACACGTGAGGCTAAATGTCCAGGGCATTTTTCCCCTCACTGGAACTTGAATTGGTGATGGGAATGGAGACTAAGCTCAAGGCGTAGAGTGCTTGCCCGACTTGTGGGAAACCACAGGTTCAGTCCAAGCAAGGAGGATAAACGGGGTGTAGGGGCAGGTAGCAATAAGTGGGACAGAAGTTCAAGGCCATCTTCAGTTAGCTAGTAATTACTTACATAACCTCATAAACAGCTTGGGATTAAAAGTCAGGATGTGTTTCATTTTTGTTTGTTTTTTCTTAACATGCAAGATATATGGCTTAGTCATCTTAATGTGAGACCTTCCTTTTATTATTATTATTATTAATTAGTTCACCCCTATAAACCCAAAGTGGGCCATCTTACCTGTCTGAGCAGAATCTAGGAATTAGCCCTCAGATGGGCTCAGGGTTTTCCTGATAAAGGGGTAAATGTACACATTCCACGCCCAGGTGCTGCCTACATCTACCCTGACAGCAGCCAGGGTGTCCCTTCCTGCTGGTGAGCCACAGCTCCCAGCACACCAGGAAAGGACCAAGCTCAGCCCACACTACTGTGCCTATATCATGACACCATAATGAACCTTTCCCCTGGACCTATCCAGCTTCCCTTGGAATCTGGGGGAATTGCCTTTGGGACCACCACCTTCCAGCCCCATATATACTAAAATTCATGGATGCTAAAGTCCTTAATGTGCAATTGTGAAGTATCAGTGTATAGCCCGTCACAGGCTGGCATATGCTTATACCATCCCTCCCCTGCTTACAATGCTTAGTAAGGTGTGAAGGCCAATGGCTGTTGCACTGCATTGTTTAGGGAACAAAACAAGAAGGAAAATGGTTCAGTACCAGATGCTGTTATTTTTCTAAATATTTCCCATTCATGGTTGGTTGAATCTGAGGAAGTGGAACCCCAGGGCACAGAAGGCTGACTTTGTTTATCCTATTGATTTATCCATTTGGCTGTTTCTTGTTGTTCTTAATTGAATCCATCTCCTTTCAGAAGACATACATAATTACCTTTTTTCCACAAACTTCTCTGTTCCCTCTTCTGTTTATATAAATAAACAGCACTGAAGTGTTTTTGCACATCTTTTTAAAAACATATTTTCATTGTGTATGTATGGGTGTTTTGCTTTCATGTATGTCTGTGCACCATGTGCCAGAAGAGGGCGTTAGACCTCCTGGAACTATAGTCACAGTCTGTTGTGAGCCACCATGTAGCTGCTGGAAATCAAACCCATATCATCTAGAAGAGCAGCCAGTGTTTTTAACGCCTGAGGCACCTCTCCAGCCACCCCACAACCCCCATCTTGTTTTATTTTTATTGTTATAGACACATTTAAAGCAGTGTTTAAATGATAATTCTTCTGATACAAAGTCTATAGCAAAGAATGACTGGGCCTTCCTTTACAAATATAGCTATGACATTAAGAGGGAGTTGGAGTCATTGCCTTGTTCAAGTGGTCTGTTTACCATAGTGTATATGTTAATATGGAGAGAAATAGTTTAGACAGCAATGACCTATTTTTCTATACAATTTCCATATCCCGAAATTCGGGCCTCCCTTATATTAATTCTGTCTTCTATATCTTGCTATAGAGCTCAGGCTATCAAGCCAGTTATCCAGATAATTTAGTTAAAACCATAATACCTTTTGGTTTTGTAATTATCTCGGATGGGGGTCATTTGTTAGAGTGTGTCCTTGTTCCCATAAGCATGTGAGGGGCCTAGACTCAGCCTTTCACAAGAGGTCTCTCAGATCTCAAACCAAGGAAGCTTTGGTTTGTGGCAGCGATGAGAAAGACAGTATGAGAAGCAGCTAACTAGACTGTACCTTCAAGAGCAAGGTTTATAGCCGCAACAATGTTGAAATATGAATTCTGTTGGGATGTCAATAAAGTTGACACAGATTTGATTTTGATGAAAATAACCCAAGTCATTCTTGGCCATATCGAAGAGTTGTATCAGTTAACCAGAGACATCGGGCATTTCAGGCTACAAGCCTGTACCCATTTCAACCTAAAATATCAAAGTGTCTTTCATTGGACAAATGCCTCCACCGGACTAAATACCACTTGATATCAGGAGCTAGACCAAATCATGCCTCCTCTTTGGTGAGGCCAAACTTTCTGATCCCATTGGTTTGCACCCAAAGAGAAAGGGAAGAAAAGAGCAAATGTTAGATGAACAAAGTCTAAATTTTTCTCAAAACATTTCCATGGGGTGGGAGGGTAATTCCCTGAGTAAAGTCCTTGCTATACAGGCATGGTGTCCTGATTTAGATCCCCCAGCATCCAAGCATAAATCAGGTGTTGCAACCTGTGCCTGCCTGTAGTCCCAGCACTAGAGAGACGGGGCAAGAGGAGGGTCCCCAGGGTCTGTCGACCAGGTAACCTAGGCAACAGGTGAGCTCCGAACTCAGTGAGCAACCCTAACTCAGAAATTAAGGTGCAGGGAAACTGAGGAAGAAAAACTATCAACACCCATCTCTGGCCTCCTGGCCCCAGCCCCCAGGGTTCCCATGCTTGTACAAACAACAGAAAACACTCCCCTAAGAGCTTGCATTCTCTGGCTCCAAGGGGACAGACAGCAAGCTCCTTGTTGCATCCCGAATGCTAGCATTTAGGAAATTAGGTTTGAATGGCTGAATAAATCAGTGACGGAAGTGGTCTTGATCACTACAGAAAGTACTATTTGTTTTCTGTGTATTTTCTCCAAAGAATACTTTGAGATTCCGTAGGGATCATTTTTCCCATTGGACGCAAATGTGTTTGTGTCCTTATCCTACAAAACTGCATGTGCCCCCAAATCTGTGAGAATGACTGATTTTAGCAACTGGGAAGCTTCTGTTTGTCTCCTACAAGTAACTGGTAGATGAGCAGATGAAACCAGGGTCAGCTAGAAGGAATCTAAAGGAAAATGACATCATCGTATGTGTCACCTAACCATTTACATTTGCTGTTGGAGCAGAGGTCTTCTGTCTGCTAGCAGCAGACAATGTCAGTTCTCTTTATGGAAGCTTTACTTTGTTATTAAGTGGAATGCCCCATTTGGCATCAGCCGTTAAGCTCACAATGAGTGCATGGGAATGCTGCTTCCTCACAGCTAACTCTCCCTTCTCTGTGTGTAGGGGTAAAATATAAGCCACGCAGCCACGTAGACAAGCTACAGGAATGCACCACTGCTAAGTAAAATTTGTTTCTGCTGGAGACAGAGAGACGGCTCCGGCCTTAAAAATGTGTAGCGCTCTCACAGAGGACCTGAGTTAGGTTCTCAGTATCCATGTTAGATACCTCACATCCTCCTGGAACTCCAGACCAAGGGGTCCAACACCTTCTCTTCAGGTATGGCACCAACCCTCACATGTGCGCACACCCACGCATACACACACGCACATGCATACACACACACACACACACACACACTATACACACAATAAAAAAATTCTCAGATTCACAAGGTTGGAAATATGGCCATAAAATCCAGGGATTTGATTTTTCATTGTGTTTTGCATTGAAAACTGCTTCAGTTTTTCCCTTGGTAGGAAAGAGTCTTTTATTAAAAGTTAGAGAACGTGGCACTGAAGAGATGACTCAGCAGTTAAGAGCACTGGATGCTTCTATAGAGAATCTAAGTTTGGTTCACAGTACCCAAGACAGGGTGCCTGGAAAGGCCTGGAACTCCAGCCCTTGGGGATCCAAAGCCCTCTTCTGGCCTCTGAGGGCTCCTGCAAACACACACATAATTCTTTCTGAAAGTTAGAGCAACGACAAGAGGCACACATGTGTCCCATGAATGCACACTGACCTCTCAGTGAGGTAAGCAGTGCATGTCAGAAAGACTGAGTCCTCAGAAGTGACCAAGAGGGTCCCTGAACACTGGTAGCAGTTCTGCAAACCTCTCAGTGTCCTGGGGGTTTGGTTGGGTTTTTAATCTCTAAAATGGAAAAGACATTTAACTATCTGAAGTAGATGAACTCTGAAGGGTGCATCTGCTGGAGAAGCTTTAGTAACGTCTTGAAAGCCCTCTTTCCAGTTGCATGTGTCCACAGTGTGTGCCTGCTGTGTCCCATCTGTTACACACACAGCGAGAGACATATATTGATATGTGTGTGTATGTGTATATATGTTCCATCTATTATGCATGTGTGTGGGATATATACTATATATGTGGACTATATTACATATATGGAAGATATGTTGCCTGATCTACCTAAATTGCACATTACATAAAATCATGATAAAATTCCTGCAGGTATCGTAGGAGGAAGGCCCTCCGAAATTTGTACACAAAGAAAAATGTTAGTGCTATTAGCTTGACCCCGCAAAGGGCTAAAACCACGGTGTCTTTGGGAGCCAACAAGGTTGTCCACTGGATAACAGCATCAGCACGTGAAGGAAAGCTCAAATACTGTAGAAGAGAGGGTTAGGCTTCCAGGCTTCAGCTAAAGGAGTAAGGCCGTTTTATGACTTGAAATACAATTATAAGTATTTTACCCGGGGACAGAGCTAATGAAGCCAAGGTCGCTGGTTCAATTCCCACGTGAGCCATTAGCTTTCCTTCTTTCTATTGTCTCAGACCCGCCACCCCCCTTAACCCTGACTCCCCACCCTTCACACTCATCATGGGGTCACAGAGGAGTCTGGATGCAGAGGTAAACCAGCCCCTCCCCTCAGCTAGAAAGGTGTCAAAGGTCAAGCCTCAGTCATGTGGCATCCTCCCAGCAGGGGCAAAGCAGATGATCTCTGGGTTGTGATTGCTATTGCTGTCACTTCTCATGGCTCTGCAGTACCCAGTGCCGCAGTCTGGGTCAGAGCGCCTTCCTTCAGACTGCAGCCATTTGAAGAGCAGCTCTCCTGGGGCGTCCAATGACTTGGACAGATATTTAACACTTCCAACCTTGTCTTCTCACTTTCAGAATCCACACTCTAACAGCACTGTATGGAGCTGCTGGGAGGAACGGGTGTGTTGACACAGGGGTGGGGTGGGGTGGGGATTGGGGTGGGGTGGAGTGGGGATGTGGTGGGGTGGGGGAGGGGTGGGGATAGGGGTGGGGGAGGAGCCAAAGCACCTGAACCACAGGAATTTCCTCTCGGTTGCCTTGGTCCTGCGGATTAGTTAGTTCTTGGGGAAGAGCACAGAGATGGGTGTCTTCCCAGGCTTGCTAAGGTCAGGTTCCACTGGCTGGATGGCCAGCAACACCACAAGCACAAAGGGTGCTCTGTGACGGTTCTCAGAGTGAAAGTCACCGAGCAAAGTGCCTCCCAGGCCACGCTCCCTCCAGAGGCTTCAGAAAGCCGTCCTCTTTGCTTCTCCTAACTTCTGGTGTTCCCTGCATACCTGTGCTTGTGGGAACATCACTCCTGCTGCTCCCCCTGTCTTTATGTGCAACACTTCCTTGCCTGTGTCTGCCCTCATCACAAGTTCTTTACTCTTACAAAGGTACTGGTCACTGAGTGAGAGTGCTCCCTATCAGCCATTGTGTCTGTTCAGAGTGCTCCCTAAGTCGGGTGACCTCACTCTAATTCTTAGGCAGACAAATACAGTAGACAGGATAATGTCTCTCTTGTCTCTTACAAAGGTACCAGCCATTGTATGAGAGTGCTCCCTATCAGCCATTGTATCTGTCAAGAATGCTCCCTAAGCCGGGTGCCCTCACTCTGACTCTTAGATGGACGAATACATTAGACTGGATAATGTCTCTCTTTGGAGGAGGGGGGGCAGGTATCACTCAATCCATGAAAGGAAGAAAGGGAGGGAGAGGACAGAAGACAGAGGGAAGAGGGTGGGAAAAAGGGATGAAGTTAAGAGGGAAGGAAGACCAGCCAGGCAAGCAATGAGTGCCAGAGAGGGCGATGGTCTTGTAAAGCAAAGAGAGACAAAAACTCCCATGGTAGCTCCTGTCTAGAAAAACAAACCAATGAATGACCCCCCCAAACCCACTGAATGCTTCATTGCCTGTGGCTACAGAAACAGGGTGATGTCCTCTTATGTGGCTGAGACAGAGTTCCAGGAAAATACCTTTGGGTCCTAAGTAGGGAATAAGGAAAGGCAAACAGAGTCCCATCTAGAAGTATGAAAATATTCTAAAAACCCTGACTTAATATTGGTCAAGTCATTTAACAAAGTTCCTGAAGTGGCACTCTTGCCTTTGTATGTGACATGTTGACACTGGGGTATGGCTTTTAAGGTATCAGAGACTGGGTACCCTGGAACACGCAATGTCCCCAAATTAGAAGAAGATGATCTGAAACTTGGGACAGCCACTTAGAACTCTATGTGCCTAAGCAAGTATGTCCATATAGATTATTGTAAAGTTGGGGCCAGATTTTGTCTACAAATAGCATTTTCCTGCTCAGGCAGTTTTGAACCAAAAAGACAAAGCCACTGGGTTCCTGCTTGAAAGACCCATGTTTCTCCTCTGGCAAAGCATTGGTCCATTTCCTCTGTGTTGACTCAATATGTGACCAGTACACCTTGCTGTCACCAAACTGTCAGAGACACAGTCTCGTATGCTCTGCTCACAGTTGAGGTTTAAGCATTTATCTGGCAGCCAATGGGATTCCAGGGACAGAGAAGAGGTATAGGAAAATGATGATGGAATCTGATATTTGAAAATGGATGAGTTTCCCTAAAGAAGAGCATAAAACCCCCTGGATGGTATTGAGACAGGAAGCTGGCAGGCTGCCAGCCTTGTAATTACATCGTGAATTGAGCCATAATCCTGGCTGCTTCTGAAAACAGTAAGAACTGGGAAAAACGATAACCCGAGTTTACTTAAAAGACTGACATTTGCTTACAGCTTCCAAATAAAATGTTTTCCTGACACTCTGGTTAAGGCTGGAGAGTTACGGAGATAATGGTATGTTTTGTGTCAGAAGAAAGGAAATAATGTGTTTCCTCGAAGGAAAAGGAATCCTGTATTTTGTGAGAGAAAAATAAAAGCATTTTGTCTTCCATAGAATGTAACTTATATGCTTTTTTATTTCTTTATTTAAACAAAATCTTCAGGTTTATAACGTGCACGTACGCTGTATGTACACAACAGCATGGGCTTTCACCAGGCCAAGAAGTGACAGTGACCACCATGGCAGGTTTTCCAGAGAGAGGAGCCACTGTCACGGCGAGTGTCCTTAACCCCACAGCCATAGACGTCACATGGGAGAAACCAGGTAAGAACACTTACATGTCTCTCTCCCCCCTCTGAGTTTTAGCACTTGGTGTTGCTTTTCTGGCTCAGTGATGAAACACCATGACCAAGGCAACTTAAAGAAGGAAGTGTTTATTTGGGTTTATGCTTCCAAAGGATTAGAGGCCATCTTGGCTAGGAGGCGTGGCAGTAGGCAGCATGACCGTGACATACTCCACCAGCAAGGCCACATCTCTTAAACTTCCCCAACAGCACCGCCAGCCTGGCACCAGGTATTCAAATGCCTGAGACTATGGGGGAACGTTTCTCATTCAAACCGCCACAGCACACTAAAAATAAACAAGTTGCCTAAGCTATTTATGTGCGGGTATGTTCACATAAGCAGATACGTTTATGGTCATGTGTGCATGTGTGTGTGGGGTCCAGAGGTCAACCAAAGGTGGTGTTCCTCTCACTGTTCTTGAACTCAGTGATTCCCTAGCAAGCCAGGGCAGGGGCGGGGCAGGGATGGGGTGGGGTGGGATGGGGAGGGGCAAGGGTGGGGTGGGGGTAGGTTGGGGTGGGGAAGCCTGACTCTGCATCTGCTTTCCCAGTACTCATTACAAGTAGACACTACCATGTCCAGGTTTTATGTGGGTCCTGGGTGTGGAACTCCAGGTTCTCAAGCTTTCGACACCATCATCCAAGGCCTGTGATGTTCTTCTTGAGACACAAATGCCTCCTTGCCTCTTCCTGGATCTATGTGCCCCTCCCATATTCGCTTCAGATGGGGAAATAATTCCACCAGTGTGGAGACTGGATAGTCTGATGGAGTGGTCTGCTTACCTGGGCACCATGCAGGACTGTGACCCTTCTGCAGCCCTCAGACCTAGTGCCTTTTGCTCACTCCTCATCAAAAGAACTACGTACAGTATGCGCAACAGTGTGAGTTCCCTGTATATCATGCCTTAGAGCCAGTGTTGGCTGGTGAAGGAATTCCATCTCCATGCAGTCACTGGGTTAACGGTCGTACCTTGACATGATGAAACACTTCTTCTGGGGGTTTGAAAGAGCACACAGATGTCTCTGTAACTCTGGGAACCATGGTGAATGAAATCTCAGAACTACTCAATGGTATGGTGTTTAGCATCTGATTTGCTCATGTGTGCTGCCTTTAAGAGCAACCAGAAAGAAGTCTGGAGTCTGCGGTGGAAATATTCACAGTAACCATTTTTGCATGCATGACTTAAGAACTGACAGATGACCAGATAAAAACTTGTCAGTATTTTTACTGAAATCTGAGAAATATCTAATTTGTGCACGTTTGATTAAAATAATTTGTTTTATAAGGATAAGTACACATTAGAACAATTATCCACTATTACACAAAAAGATGTACGTAACAATAGCAATCATTAGCACTGTTTGGGCAAGTCTGGAATTTGTGAAGGCCTAAGAAGACCTGAGTGGGTTTGCATACACTTCCTGTCATGTGATAGCCATCATGAGTTAGGACTGGTGTTTTATGTCATCAACTGCGAATCAGAGCAGTGTTTGTATCGGTCATCCATCATTGCTATAAAATACCCAAAATAATTCCCTGTACATGGACGGAAAGACTGTATCAACTCAGTTCCAGTGCTTGGGTCTGTGATCACTTATTTCTGGAGCTTTGAGGCCTGAAGTGAGGCAATGCATAAGGTGTACATGATGGAGGAAGCTACTGACGTCCTAGCAGCTTTGAAGCAAAAAAACAAGCCATGCCCCAAGATTCTTCTCAGTAGCATGCCCCAGTCAGTTAAGTAACTGCTACTGGGTACCATATCTCCAATGTTTCACTACCTCCCGATGCTACCAGAGGCTGAGAAACAAGCCCAGGGTATGTAGGCCTGAGGGACGTTATGTACAGGGGCATACATTGTGTGGTCTATGCTTCCACCAAATAATTCATAAGAAAAAAAAACCCGCCAGGGTTTTTGTAAGTTTGTTGTTTTTTTAATGATCTGATGTGTTTGGGTTAGAATAATTTGAATCATTTTAATGGGAGACTTTGAGTAAGTTGATCTTAAGATTACCTCCTGTAACATCTCCAGGAAAAATATGTTTCATCTAAAGTTGAATTGTGTGTGTGTGTGTGTGTGTGTGAGAGAGAGAGAGAGAGAGAGAGAGAGAGAGTGAGTGAGTGAGTATGTACTCATCCATTCTTCCTCCCTGCTCCACCTTGCCTACCAATTCATCCTAAGATCTTGCCCGTATCAGTAGTCACCACCACCCCCCACACTCACACCTTGTGATTCGTGAATACTGAAGGGAATATATGGCTGCTGTGCTCTTAGTCACGTATCCTCTGTGATATCATCGCACTCCTGAAGTCAGCTTATAGAAGCTGACAAACCTAATAGATCTGAAGCGGCCTGCTGAAGTTTCATTACCTTAGTAATCAGAACCTCTGACCTGCGGGATGTAGGTAATGCAATCTGCTGTGATTTCCATTCATACCTTGGAAATTTTTCAGATAACTCTTCGTGAGCACAAAGGTTAACTTCGAGGAGGGTCAGTTGTGAAAGCCTGCTGCCGGATCCTGTCCCTCCTTTGTACAACCTGCTATCTTAAGTCAATTAACTAGTCACTCCTCTGCAAAAGAGCTGCCTGTTTTCACAGCTTTCATCTTGGTGTTTTCTCTTGCTTGATAGAAGAAACCTCGGTGCATAACCTACAAAGTCGGATGGTGCAAAGCTGTTGCTCAGCACATCTAGGAACAAATTTTTACACCTTTCCTTGGTAAACATCTTTCAAAAAATCATGAAATAAATATATATGTTCTCTCTCTCTCTCCATTCATTCTGGACTAAGTGCTGGTCCTATCCATAGTCCCAGCACACCTATTGCACAAGGAGAGACAGGTAGGAAACTCCTCAGGAGCCCCCAGCATGGCTGATGTGGCAAACAGTGGTAAACAGAGACTAAGTCTTGAAGTAGAAGGTGGTAATCGGCACCTGGGGCTGTCCACTGAGCCCCACACATGCCCTCTGACCTCCACACATGCACCATGGTGCTTGTGTGCTCACACACATGAGGCTTCACATGCACACATCACACGCATCACACACACAGAGAAGATTATAGTGAAAGTCATGGTTTTCCCTCTGCTGTGATTGACACAAAGGCACACCATTTTCACAGCCAAGTTTTCTGGTAAGTTTTTACCAGTCACATGTTGACAAAGAGGGGCCAGTCAGTGGTTTGTTGTTGTTTTTGTTTGTTGGTTTTGTATTTGTGGGTTTTTTATTTTTATTGGGACATAGAGTAACCTGCTGTTTTTCAGGTAAGTCTTTGTGAAGAAGGGTCGGCTCAAAGCCATTTGAGAAGCTAGCTGACAATTTGCCTGCTTCTGTCATATATGTTTATAATCTGTGGTAAAGATATCTGTTTTTTCAGACTTTTGTAGGGGGTAGGGGGATAGACAACGTAAGCTTCCACACATAGATCACGTTTTCTGTCTCCATTGTCCTCCATGCTTAAAGCATTGAAAAAAATAGTATTTTATCACCTACCCATCAACAGATTTCACCTAAAGACAATTATCTCTACACTCATTTTAAACACCATTTTTATTATTTTAATTTCGTGTGAGATCATAGTGATCTCTTTTACAATTTTTCATGTTATTCTATTTTGCATATAATAAGTAATTGATGTGTTCTTTCCTGACTTTTCTTATTGTAGTTCTTGATGTTTGGCTTATAAATTGTTTTCATTGCTATATAGCAGTTACAGAACTGTTTTCTCAAAATCACTTCAATTTTCCCCAATCCTAAATTCTGAGTTTCAGTTCACCTTTCTGCCCTCTGGATGGCAATTACAGAGAGTTTCATTGTGAACATCACTTGCTTATTTTACTATTATTGTTATGATTATCATTTGTGTGTGAGGGTTTGTGTGTGTGTGTGTGTGTGTGTGTTTGCGTGTGTGTGTTTGCGTGTATGTGTGTGCGCACGAATGCCCGAGTTCTCAGATGGAGTCAAGGGGAAACAACTTGAGGGAGCTGAGTCTCTCATTCCACCATGGCTCCAGGGTTTGAATTCAGGGGGTCATGTTAATATCACTAATGCTTTCCCCTCTGAGGCATCTCATGGGATCATCATGAAAGTTTCCTACTATAACTATGTTCATTTTTGCCTATGTTAGGTAATAGTCCTCTCATGTTTGCACATTTCTTTATTATTATTTTTCCAGCATAGGAATACATTTGCCCTTTTTTGTATACACACAAATGATCCCTTAGATCTTGAATCGAATGTTTTCCCTCCAAAGCGCTGATCCTATTCTATTCTCCTGACACATCTCGCGCTTTAGCCGAGCCTTCTGGATCTTGTCTGACTGTCACCCCTCTGCTATGCTTTGGGTGGGGACTGTCCCCACCGGCTCATGTGTTTGAACACCCGGTTCCCAGTTGGCAGTGCTGTATGGAAGTTTGTGGGACTTTCTGGTCACAGTCCCTCTTTGGCAGAGTTGGTCACGGAGAGCTCTCTTTGAGGGTTACAGCCCAGTCTTCTCCCTACCCCGTTGCCTGCTTCCTGATGCACCGGCCAATGAGGAATACCCATTGCACACCCCTGCCTTCTCCACCACGAGGGACTTCATCCTCCAAACCCAACTCAGAATTAATCCTCTGAGGCTGTTCCCATCCTGTGTTCTATCTCAGCAACAAGGACAGTCATGAGAATATCCTACTATGGATAAGCTTTCACATTTAGTTTACTTTAGCCATAGTAGACTGTGACATATCTACATCTGGATATATTGCCAACCTTTGGGTAAGACAGTGTGGGCTTGAATGAGCCCACAGGCTCATATGTTCTACCTGGTCTCCAGCTGATGAAGCTGTGGGGGAAGGATTAGGAGGTGTGGTTTTGTTGGGAGAGGTGTGACACTAGGGATGGGCTTGAGGTTTCAAAAGCTCATGCTAGGCTCTGGTTTGGTCGGTCCCTCTCTGTCCTGTGGATGAAAATTTAAGTTCTCATCTACTGTTCCAGAATCGTGGTTGTTTGCCTGACACCATGTTCCCCGCCATGACAGTCATGGGCTCGAACCCTCTAGAAATGTGAACACCAAATTAAATGCTTTGTTTTATAAGTTACCTTTGGTCATGGCATTTCATCCTAGCAATAGAGGAGTAAGGCAGATTATATTCTGTGTATAAATATCTCTTCATTGTGGATAAGGCTTAGCTAATATGTTCATGATTTATTTGTTGCATCTACCACTCAAGGTAGATCATTTCCATTCTCTGTCCTCAGTATCTACAAAGTGTTATAATAATTATAAAGTTCTGGGATTGTGTTCTACCCATTCTTGTCTTTGTTACGGCTTGAATGTAAGACATTCCCACAGACTTTGGTTTTGCATTCTTTGTCGGAAGGTAGCAGAGCTATTTTAAGAGGTGGTAGAGACTTTAACAGGCAGGTCTCAGTGGAGGGATTTGGTGCTGGGGGTGTGTGAGGTTTCTGACTGCTCAGCACCCTCCGGCTCTCTGCTTGCTGCCCTTCATGGGGAGATAGCCTTCTTGTTCACACACACTCGCACTGGGGTTCAGCTGTATCTCAGGTCCATGGGAATGAGGTGAGATATCTCTGGTCCAAATTCTCTAACACCTTTAAGTCGGTCTCTCTGGTATTTTTATTATTTAATTTTTCTCATAAATTATGTGTGGATCATACTCTTTGTTCTTCCCTAACTCCTCGCAGATCCCCTCACAACCTCCCTACCCACCCAGCTTCATGCTCTTTCTCTCTAAAAGTAAAGAGTAAAATAAAAAAAACCAAATGTCTAAACAAACAACACATACACACAAACAAACAAAACAGTAAGACACAAAAGACCAAAACAGAACAAAAAGCACACAAAACAATTATGGAGTTGGTTTTGAGTTGGCCAACTACTCCTGGGTACGGGGCCTGCCCCAGACTGTGGTTGACGTATCCAGTGACAGAAACGGATTTTTTCCCTTTGCCAGTAGGTATCAATTGTGAAGAGCTTCTTGGTTAGTGGATAGAGTTTGTGTCCATTTTCCCTTCTCCTTGCTAGAATTCTGTCTGGTTTGAACCTGTGCGGGTCTCACGTCTGCTGTCAGCGCCTGTGAGGTAATATGTGTACCAGCTCCGTTGCAGCGGGAAGACACTGTTTCCTTGGAGTCATCACCAGCTCTGGCTCTTATAGTCCTTCTGCCTCCTCTTCCACACAGATGCCTGAGCCTAGAGGTTAGATAAAGGTGTCCCAGTTAAAGCCCGGTGCTTCAAGTCTCTCATTCTCTGGCCTTTGTCCAGCTGCGAGTGTCTATCAAGTGCCATCGACTGCAAGAAGAAGCTTGGCTGATGAGGATTGAGCAAGGCTCCATGTGTGAATATGGCAGAGTGCCATGTGAGGCGTTTTATTGCTGTGTTCCTCTAACAGAACAATAGAAGTAGGTTTTCCCCTAGGCCTACGACTTTTCTCCTGTCATGTTACTGGTCGTTTTAGAGGTGTCAGGTCTGGGTTTCATCTCATGGAGTGGGCCTTAAGTTGACCCAGAGGTGGCTGTTACTCTTTTAACATGTGTGCCACTTTGCACGAGGATGCCTGGCAGGCCGAGCACTGCAGTAGCTTGCATCTTGTCACCGCTCTGGATAGTAACTTTTCCTTCAGTCTTTGGTGTCGCGTATCTGTATATTCTGACAGTTTTCTTCATTCAGTGCAGGTTTGAATTCTGCCCTGACTCTTTGTGTTTTCTTCCCTTTCTTATCCAAGGCAGATCTGTAAACATTCCATATCAGGCCTATTAACAATTCCAGGCACCTGTTTTCATATGCCTCGAAGCTTCTTTTCATAAAGACATGTCCTTTTGGGTTATTTTTGAAGCACATTATTCAATTGTTTTTTAAAAACTCCATCTCCTTTTCATGAAAATAGTACATGGAGTCTTTAGACGATGTTTCTCCTGTCTTGCGTAATGAGGAATCCATATAACAAAATATCCTCTTTAAGGAAAGGAAAATTACATGCAAGCCAGGTTTATCAATAGACAGAAAAGGTGAGGTTTACTAGCTTTCTCTTTCTGGCTAATCCAGGAAGCAAGGTCAGCAGTCTCTAATTTGTTCTGTCCTTGGAACGAAGAACAGATCTTCTGTCTCTCAAATGGTTCACGGAGTAAGAAGAGGCCATTGTGGCTTGAGCAACGCAGACTATGTGTTACCACAGAGTATCTCATGTGGTAGTGGCCCCTGCGGTTAGTCTGTGGGAACTCTACACTATAGCAGCTGCAGACTTGGCGAAAGGCAGGGAGGTAGAAAGTTGGCCGTGCTATCCAGTCACACCATCCACTCTAGTCACAAGACCAGAGTAACACTCATGGAGGCTTCTGCAGCAGGACTAGCCTGCCACCTCTTCTCTCATTCCTGGGGCAGTGAGGAGCTTGTATTCTGTGTTCAGTGAATTGGCAAATGGAACTGGGCTAGGAACAGACAGGTAAAGGGGTTTTCTTCAGACCTTGACATAGTCTCTGCTCTCCTTGAATGTGCAATGCCAGCTCCATACATGTAGTCTGTGAATCTGTGTGTGCTCCCGAGGAACATCTATAACATAAGTAATCTACCGGCATACTCTACCTAATTGAGACATCCCCTCCAAAGGGAGACATTTCCTCTAGGAACGATGGGGAACACGCCGGCCTCAGGTAAATAGAAGGTCGCATGTTGTAGATGACTGGAAGGTTCTGGAGGGCCTCCCTCAACAACACAGAAAGCAGGAACAGTTGCTGGGGTTGGGGATGCTGGCCAGCCAAACCGGGAAAGGAAAGACACACTGATCTGGTGGAGGAGCTGCCTGCCGAGATATTAATGTAAAGGAGCCCTTTTAATAGTTCATGAAAGCACCGGGTGGTGGTGGCACAAGCCTTTAATCCCAGCACTCGGGAGGCAGAGGCAGGTGGATCTCTGTGAGGTCGAGGCCAGGCTGGACCGACAGCCTCCAAAACAGTACAGAGAAACCCTGTCTCGAAAAGACCAAAAAAAAAAAAATTCATGAAAGCTCCCCACCCTGTGTTACATTACATGGCACATACTTTTGCAAATAGTTATGTTGACATTTCAAAGGATATTTGAATAATTATAAATAGCACATATATACATATATGTGTGTGTGCATGTGTGTGTATACATATATATGGGAAATTTTAAAGTATATGTTCCTCAGTATGACTTCTCAATTGATTATAGAGTGAAGAGAAAAATAAAATTCTTTTAAAAATAAAATGAACTCCAATTCCACCAGCTTCAGCACAAAGAAGTTTCCAGAAACTTTTGTAAAGCTGAGTTTCCATCAGCTTGCTTCCATCTCTTTCCAGGAACATTTAACAAGAGCATTTATTCTGTGCTTCCCACCTGCCACGCTTACACTGTTCCGTGTTTCTTGTTAACAGCTTTACCAGATCTACAAGGTGATGAGGAGTGTTACATGCTGCTTTGGAATTCTGGGGCCTTGAACAAAGCTCTGAAAATCCTCTCATGCCCTTGGCGCCTCAGCTCCAAATGGATTTTCCTCTCAGCCTTCAACAGAGTCGGTGACATCAACAGCACAGTGCTACAGAGACGCCCATAGTGTTGATTGGTCCTTTTTGGAGCTGAGTTTGGTCATCTCTCATTTATAAAATCCCCAGTGCTGAAAGGAAGTGCGTGGGAACCAAAATGTTCGCATGCTTGTGGGAACCAAAATGCTGGCACGCTTGTGGTCACCAAGGGACAGACGAATATACCAGCGCCCTGGAAACAGCAGCGTGGACCCATAATAAGGGGCGGTTCTTCTCGGGGCAGTCCTGGTGGGGAGACAGTTCACATCAGTAAAAGGTGAAGTTTCCTAAGATCAGCCCTCAGGAGCATCGAGCCTTCCGCAGTGACACCCCAGCCCAAGAAAACACTAGGTGGAAGCTCAGCTCAGAGAAGAATTGCCTATGTCTCGGTTTCTGAGCCAGTTAGCGAGGGAGAGGAAGCCAGAGAATCAACTTGTGAGTCTGGAAATGAGTCTGGAATGGTCTTTCTAATCTTTCTGGCTTTATATGCACTCATTATAAACATTATAATATCGTTACCTCCCAAGCAAGCGTTTCAGGCCATTAGCAGAACTCTTTACGTGTGGAACCCATTTCCCTTTGTGATGCCAAAGGTCGGCACCTTTTGTTTATAAAATAGAATGACTCACAAGGACGATTTTTCAACTAGTTAAGATGAGTTTTTACGATAAAAATAGGCCTTTGCATAGTTATTTCTGACATGCTTGAATAATTGTGTAATTTAATGCTAAGCAAGATTTTTTTCCACCCCGATGTTAGATTTCATCATTACCTATGGTAATCAACACTCAAAATCATTTACATAATGACAATATTTCATTATTGCTTCACATTGCTTGAGTTACAAGCTAGTAACAGCAAATGATTTTTCACATCCCAGTAGCCTCGGTGTATTTGAATTTTATTTTGTATTTGGCTTAAGGAGCAGATTCCCCTCCCCCACCCCCAAGGAGATATAAAGTGAAAGGTTGAAAATAATAGATACATGGTTTAGAGGTTCAGATGGGTGAGTAATTTATCATTGGTATCCCACTGGTCACATAGCATTGAAGATTAGCACTACGCTGGTGGTATAAAGCATTTTGCCACCGAATCTTATGGTTTCTAACTGAGAGTGTAATAAGCCAATTTGTAGAGGACTTCAGACTGCTGTCTTCGTCATAGGAAACTAGATAAGCAAGGAGCCCTTTGCTGAGCCTCCGTACCAGTCTGCATTTAGTTTAACAAGTGCTGTTGTTGAGACAGCTGGGGTTTATTCTGTTTCTTCCTTTAATTCTAGAGCCTCAGGGCATGCTTCCTCCAGAGGTTGTCATCATCAACAGTACAGCTGTACATGTCATCTGGACATCTCCTTCAAACCCAAATGCCATTGTCACCGAGTCTTCTGTCTATGTAAATAATACACTCTACAAGACCGGAGTGGATGTGCCGCGGTCGTTTATCCTGAAAGGCCTGTCTCCCTTCGCTATGTAGGACATTCAGGTCAGAGTATTGTTTTGTTTCTTTTCTGGATGGTTAGGCTCATGGATATGTTAAATAAAACATGCCGGGCGACATCTCTGTGTGGAGGCTGTCTGTCCTGGTTACAGATTATTGTTTATTTGAAGGGAAAGGAATGAGAGAAGAGGGAAATTGACCAGAATGAAAGCTGCTTGCCGTGAGGAAGTTGCAGACTTGAACCCCTGGAAAATGAACGGTTCTTGGCAAGGATGGAGCTTGGTGCTGATGAGGGAGATGATGAAATGCCCACGGGTGAAATGAAGTCAATCAAACTATCACCAAACAACAGTCTTCCCAGTGTGTCCTCTCTCTCTGCCTTTTATTTGGTATCAACATCAGAATTAACTTGTAGATGTAGAGATTTTTTTCTCTGTTCTTTTTTCTGCATCTTACTCAGGGAAGTAGTATAGCTCACTGGGTGTCCATTGTCCCTTTGTAAAGGCATGGCATGGATGATGCGAAATATTCTGTTCTCCACTAGCATTCCTGATTTTGAATGCAACAAGAAAACACAAAATAAGGCAAATTAAAAAAACTGCCAGAGGCAGGCGGATCTCTGTGAGTTCGAGGCCGGGCTGGACCGATAGCTTCCGAAACAATACAGAGAAACCCTGTCTCGTAAAAACCAAAAAAAAAAAAAAAAAAAAAAAACCTGCCAAAGAATTTCACCCAAGCATGGAAGGAATGAATCTTTTCATCGTGCGGCAAACAATCCACAACCTCACCTATGTGACATGTCCTTGGGGGTCCATGCCTCCTTCCCTATGAGAATATTGATACACTAACACTGCAAATTTATCACAGAATTCAGAGAGCGCATAGTCTACCCAAAGGCAAGCCCTTGGACCTCTTCCGGGTCTACTGACTGAAATAGGAGACATACCAGAGTCCAGAAGTATATAAGATACAGTGTTGTCCTGGAGGAAATGAAGATCTTACATGAATGTCAGATACATGAGATAATAGGACCAAGGGAGCGAGCATGTGAAGAAAAGATTTTAGAGGCTCAGCGTTTATAGAAGAGGCTGCAACTTAGTAAAGTTTCAAATAATCTATGCAACTTCTCAAATTGGTGAGCATCTCATGAATAATTTCTAAAGGGCACTAAATGCAAGGATTTTATTTGACCCTGGGAACATTTTCCAGGAGTGCTGTGTCTGCCCATGTTACATGTCTGAGGGTGAAGCACATTTATTTGACTACAATACTCCAGCCATCCCTACTGTGACCCATGAGCTTGGTTTTGTAAGTAACCACAGAGCATAAAGAAAGGAAATAATAGGCACAGAAAGAAAGTTTCGCGAATTGTGTTTTCATTTCCAACAACCTATGTGAGATGCATTAGCGTGGCACGTGTGGGCTGGCGTTGGCACGTGTGGATCCTTAGGGAGGGTCCACAAGGGTCAGTAGTCCACATGTGAGTCACTTCATAGAACGATGCCTCAAATCCTTCCAGTTACAGCTGTGTGAACAAAGAACACGGGGTGATGATGGAGGCTTCGCTGTGAGGTCTTCCTTGGAGGGTAGGACAGAACTCTGAGAATGAAGCCTGATCATTTATTTACCTTCTAAAATCTGAAAATTCTGGAGCTGGCCAGGTGGCTCAGTGGTAGAGGGTGCTGAGGGTGCGTGCTGTGCTATCATGAGAACTACTGTTGGATCCTGGCACCAACATAATGACCTGTGTGTCTTGAAAATGTCTTTTAACTCCAAACCCAAGAGATCCTAATGTCCTCTTCTGGCATTTAAACACATATATGCAAACACACACACACACACATGCACTCATACATGCACACACACATGCACACACACACCCCAAATTAAGTAAGTAAATGCATGTGCTCATATGTACAAACTTAGATGCAGAGTTGAGTGTGAGAGTGCAGGCTGGTGTTGAGAACACCGAGGCTGTGTACTCATGTGCTGCTCAGCCTTGGCCTGTGGAGCAAGGCCTGTCATTACCAGATCTGATCACCCCTTTAGCAATACAGAAGCCCTCACTCACACTGATGGGCTGAGTCAGTCGTGGCCAGAAGAAAGTGTATTTTAATCAGATGGTATCACTGAAACAATGACAGAAGATCAAAACTGAACCCAAAATTTGAGTTTTTTCCTTACATCTACACTGTGCATTTTTTTTTGTAGTCCAATGCTATCACATTTGGCATAGTTATCCATGGCTGGAAATTTGAATGTTAAATTTTCGTGCCTTTTTTTTAATGAAGTCAAACATCATTTAAGTCAGCTATTTTGAACCAAACTTCTCTAGGTTAACCTCTTCCACAAAATAGTGATTGGTTTTTAAAACTAATCAAATACACAGATATCTTAATGGATAAATCCTTCTGAAACCCTTTCCAAAAGAATCATAAGTTCAATTTTAAAACTTGATTTTTAAGTTTTTTCAAGTATATATAGTAAACCCTAATATTTATATTTAATTCACATGTTATACAACATATGGTACTACAGATATCTGCAGGGTAGAGACTCCTAATGTTACATAAGGAAGAATGAGAACACAGGGTTATGCTTTCCCAAAGTCAACAGAAAGTCTTTTACAGAAGCACAAGTAGTTTAGTCCTTCAATTTAAGTGTAATATTTGGGAGAGGAAGAAGTAGGATGTAGTAAATCCCCAGATAAACATCAGGCATCTTGACCACATTTTGGGTCTCCCGATTTCTCTGCCTCCTACTTTAAAGACTTGCTAACGTGTAGGTCTGAGGATTCCTCAGATGTGCAAGATAAACAGTACTGGGTCTGAATGCAGAATGGTTTTTACTAGAGGTAAAAAAATGATGACAGTTGGGAATAGAGAAAGCCTGGCTTATAGGTACCAAAACTCAGTTAGGAGCAGTGAGTTCTGATGTTGTGAAGCAGAGTGAAGGGCTAATTGCACAATCGTCTACTTTATCAATAGCTAGAAGGGAGAAACTCAAGCTCCAAGCATGAAGAAGCAAGGAAACAGCATCATTCACTACACTGATTGTTCAATGCATGCTATAAACACATAACATGTAAACATGTGAAGTGCATGTCTCACCCTACAAACCTGAACAATTATTATACATCTATAAGACATTAAAAATTATTTGGTCAAGAGCCATTCAAACATATATTGTATATAGTTAAGACATAATGAGTTTTGTTGAGTTACTTGGGTTAATCCCATTGTGTATCAAAGTGTGATACCTTCCAACATGCAAAAAATTTATAGCATTAACTCTATCACGTTGTCTTTTAAGATAATCTTTCTTAAAGGTATTTCTTGTTTGTGCTTAGCCATAGTGGAGGATCTCAATAATGATTAAGTCTATAAAATAGTACCGCAAAAGGCAATATTAAAACTATTGATAACACAGCTGATGCAGTGCCATAAACATGAGCTCAGTCCCTGTTTAGAGTCAACAGTGCTGGGAACAAAATGTTGTCTCCAAAATATAGTGTGAATCTCGTCTATCTTGCTCCAGTTCTGATATAAAGACTTGGAAGGTTGATTTACTTAAAAACACAGCAGCAGAATTTAAGATCATCGGTACATAACATTCTTTTACCTCTGTTATGTTCAGGGGCTGGAGAGATGGCTCAGCAGTTAAGAGAACTTGTTGCTCTTGCAGAGAACCCAGGTGTCTCACAACCACACATAACTTCAGTTCCAAGGGATCTGGCACCCCCTTCTGGCCTCCATTGCTACCTGCAAACACATGAAACACATACTTATGTTGAGACATACAAATAAATTTTTAGAATAAATCACTTATAAAAAGAAACACAGTTGAGTTTACCCTATAAACACAGTTGAGTTTAACAGTGTGGTGGCTGTTCCTCCAGATTTCTCCTGTGTATCCACATGTTTTCCTCCCAGCCTCTGGATACACTCCTTTTGGCTTACTCATGTTTGATGAGCCCCATTTCCAATCTTAAGTTCTTCCACCCTCTCGGTTTTTATTCTAACTAGGTGGCAGAATTAAAGGGGTGAATGATGATTTTTTTTCTGCTGTGATTAAGGGGACAATACTATTGCAGCTGGAACAAATGGATATAAAATAGCTCAGCCCTATTGGGAGGCTTCCCTGAGCTTCATTTTTCTCCCATTAGACATTAGCATTTAGGCAATTTGTTGCAAAGTGTCAAGACTTCCAGGAGATATCATCATTACACCACATGGTTATAGATCTGCAGAGCACTGTGCAAGGGTAACCTATTAGGCTTGTGGATCAGCACCTGAGCGTCTCCCATCCTTTGACTGCTCTGAGTAGATTAATAAGCCCTTCTCTTTGTGAATGGTCAGAGCCACAGACTAAACATCACCATGCTAATCACTAAATCAATCGTCCTGAGCCCAATTCTGTATTCTGTTCTGAGCTCATCCCACTGAATTCAATTCACATCAAAAAGAAGAATATTTACTAAGCCCCAGGAGGCTGTATGGACTTGAAGAGATTCATATGAAGAGGGGGAAGGTGGATTCAGGCTGTTGCTGGTCTGTTTTGAAGATGATTGTATTTCTTCCTTTCCAAACTAATCTTTGCAGGTGGAAGTCGGTACAAAAGATGCCTGCGTGAAAAGCAATGGAACCCAAGTCAGCACTGTGGAAGATACTCCAAGTGACATTTCAATACCTATAATCCATGATATTACTTCAAGGTACCTAGCTTTTTATCAGTCAATCTAAACAACTGTGATCATAAGAAATGGAAGCAAACATCAAAGAAATCAGTTTAGCCACAGAAATCTCACTGAAAGGTTGCTGTAAGTGTTGGTGCATATCACATTTCTTGTATTTCTCAGGTAATCTATACTGCATACCAAAAACATTAAAACCTGTTTTCTTGATTCCAATTCTCTTGCCTGGCCATCTATTAGCAGATACTTGAATTCATTTGTAAAGAGAACCTCTTTATTTAAATGTGTCCTTTAATGAATTCTTTTGTGAAGCAAAATTCTAATTTTAATTAGAATGGCCACTTTATAACTGAATCTCTTTGAAAATATTTGATTTATCTATCTCAGATATCTCTAAAGCTAAAAATACATCTCAAATACATAGAACAAATAGTATTTGGATAGCTGCTAACAATTTTATCAGATTCTTAATAGAATCCCTTTCTTTACTCTTTCCTTACTGAGATATTACCAGAGGTTGAAAGTGAGTCCTCTATTAGTAATTCAGATTTGGAGCTGGAGATATGGCTCTGTGACTTCAAGGCCAGCTTGGTCTAGAGCAAGGGTTCTCTCAACAAATAAACTAAAAATTAGAGTAAGTGCTTGCTTTGGCAGCACATATATTAAAATTGTAATGATACAGAGACTATTAGCATAGCCTCTGCACAGGAATAACACTCAAAAATACTAACAATCAAGCATTAACAGGAATAAAACTGAATGTCATTTCCCAGTACAGAAGTAAGGTTGTGATTGCTGATCCCTCTATATTGAGTGAGACTAGAGAAGGAAATGTGAGCTGTTTCTTGTCAAACGTTGATCCTAACAATGTTGATCACCTTTTACCTAACCACATGTGCACAAACACACATAGAGTGACTCCATCCATCATGGTGTGTTTTCATTCTCACATTTCTAGGGTTTGGGGTTGTTTTGTTTTGCCATCAGTACAAAAACAGGTATCTTGATGTGGTGGTTTGAATAGGTATTAACCACTTCCATACAGTCTCATACACTTGTGTGTTTGAATGTGTGGCCTATAGGGAAGAGCACTGTTAGGAGGTGTGGTCTTGTTGGAGTACGGATGACCTTTTTGGAGGAAGTTTGTCATTGTGAGGGCAGTCTTTGAGGTCTCATATGCTCAAGCTATGCCGACTGTGGGATACAGTTCACTTCCTGTTGCCTGCAGAGCAAGATGTAGAGCTGTCAACTACCTCTCCAGCACCACATCTGTGTGCATGATGCCTTGCTTCATGTCATGATGAAAATGGATTAAATTTGAACAGTCCTAATTAAATGTTTTTTATGAGAGTTTCTGTGGTTATGGTATCTCTTCACAGCAATAGAAATGCTAACAAGGCAATTGACTTTAGCCAATAGTAATTATAACAATTAGCAAACACAAGTAACTGGATGTTAGCTACTCATGTTGAAAATGTTATCTTCTTGAGTGTGTTTTCAAACAGACTATACATTCCTGTCTAATTTGGTAGGTTCTAATTAACATGATTCTTTTATCCCTTTTTAATTTAAATTAGAAACAAACTTGTTTTACACGTCAATCCCAGTTCCCTCTCCCTCCCCTCCTCCCCAGCCCCCCACTGGCCCCCTATCCCATCCCCTTTCTGCTCCCCAAGGAGGGTGAGGCCTAACATTGAGGATCTTCAAAGTCTGTCTTATCATTTAGAGTAGGGCCTAGACCCTCCACCATGTGTCTAGGGTGGGCTCCCAAAGTCTATTTGTATACTAGGGATAAATAATGATCCACTACCAGAGGTCTCATAGGTTAACTAGACCTCCAAACTGACATCCACATTCAGAGGTCTGGTAAAGTCCTATGCTGGTTTCCCCACTATCAGTCTGGGGTCCATGAGCTCTCCCTTGTTCGGGTCAGCTGTTTCTGTGGGTTTCTCCAGCCTGGTCATGACCCCTTTGCTCATTATTCCTCCTTGCAACTGGATTCCAGAGTTCAGCTCAGTGTTTGCCTGTGGGTGTCTGCTTCTGCTTCCATCAGCTACTGAATGAAGGCTTTAGGATGGCATATAAGGTAGTCACCAATCTCATTATCAGGGAAGGGCTTTTAAGGTAGCCTCTCCACTATTGCTTAGATTGTTAGTTGAGGTCAGCCTTGTAGATCTTTGGACATTTCCCTAGTGCCAGATTTCTCTTTAAACTCAATCTTCCTTCTCTCTCATGTCCTCCTCTCCCCTCCTCTTCTCCCCTTCTCTTTTTCCTAACTCTCTTTCCCCTCCCCCCATGCTCCCAGTTAGTTCAGGAGATCTTGTTCCTTTCTCCTTCTCCAGATGACTATGTATGTCTCTCTTCGGGTCCTCCTTGTGTCCTAGATTCTCTGGTGGTGTGAATTGTAGACTGGTAATCCTTTGCTCTATGACTAAAATTCATATATGAGTGAGTACATACCATGTTTGTCTTTTTGTGACTGGGTTACCTCACTCAGGATGGTTTATTCTAGTTCCATCCATTTGCCTGTGAATTTCAGGATTCCATTGTTTTGTTTTGTTTTTCCCCCTGCTGGGTAGTACTTCATTGTGTAAATATACCACATTTTCTCCATCCATTCTTCTGATGAGCAGCATCTAGGTTGCTTTCAATTTCTGGCTATTTCAAATAATGCTGCTATGAACATGATTGAACAGATGTCCTTGTTGTATGAATGGGCAACTTTTGGGTATATGCCTAAGAGTGGAATTGCTGGATCTTGTGGTAGACTGATTCCCATTTTCCTGAGAAACTGTCACAGTGATTTCCAAAGTGGCCATACAATTTGGCACTCCCATCAACAGTGGAGGAGTGTTCCCCTTTCTCCAAATCCTCTCCAGCATAAACTATAATTCGTGTTTTTGATTTTAGACATTCTGACATGAGCAAGATGGTATATCAGAGTTATTTTGATTTGCATTTCCCTGATGGCTAAGGATGTTGAACACTTTCTTATGTGTCTTTAAGCCATTTTAGACTCCTCTATTGAGAATTCTCTATTTAGTTCTGTACCCCACTTTTTAATTGGATTGTTTGGTGTTTTGGTGACTAGCTTCTTGAGTTCATTGTATTTTGGAAATCAGCCCTCTGTCAGATGTGGGATTGATGAATATCTTTCCCATTCTGTGGGCTGCCTTTTTGTCTTATTGACTGTGTCCTTTGCCTTACAGAAGCTTCTCAGTTTCAGGATGTCCCATTTATTAATTGTTGATCTCAGTGTCTGTGCTACTGGTGTTATGTTCAGGAAGTGGTCTCCTGTACCAATTTGTTCAAGGGTACCTCCCACTTTCTCTTCTAAGAGGTTCAGTGTGGCTGGGTTTATATTGAGGTCTTTGATCCATTGATTAACGCGATTCTTTCAGTAGGATTTAGCAATGTGTGCCAGGGAGAGGCGCTTGCCATGAGAAGGAGGAATGTACATGTTATTTGGGCACTAGAGACTTTATTTTTTAATCAAACCTATTTGTGGTTATAATAAAATAAGAAGCAAAATAAATTACAAAGGGGGTATACAAATCTAAATTTAAAGTTCTGTTCTATAGTGAGGGTGGGAAACTAAATATTTACTATTTACAAATAGTGTGAAAGTCACGTCAATACTGACAACATGCAAGAAAAACAGAGGAAACACTCCACAGTCTAGCCAAGATTATAAGGGATGGAAAGAGTCTTGGGGGCAGAACACTTAAAGTCAGAAAATACCTATACCTATAGTTCAAGAGACTGCTTTTGTCCTGTTCTTGTCTTCTGGCATCTTTATAAATCAAACCTTGCTGAATGACTGGAGAATTGTGCTTCAGGTTATACATTTACATTCAACCAAAATGTAGTAGTCTCTAAGCTTTATGAAAAGTTGAAGGAATATATCTGGGTCTCCATCATAGTTTTTCTCTTATGAATATTACTACAGATCATGCCAGAGGGGGAAATGGCTGAAACTAAAGCTAGCCTAGTTCCAAAAGTGAGAAGTTAATTCAAGACTATTCAAGTGAGCAGCACACCACAAGAACAAGCAAAGTGAGAGAGGAGACACCAGTGCAAGCCAGATTGGAGCCCAGTTTTGGAAGCAGAACTTATCTGGAAGAACCAAATTATTTATAATGGTTCGTAAAGTTATATTGGTTGGAAGACTTAAAGGGCAATATGAAAGAAGCTTAATTTTCTGCCGATAATCTTTGAATAGAGAGACATGAGACACCACGAAGAAATGTATGGAGTGAAGGTCAAAGATGAACTTAGCTGAAAATCTACAAAAGATAGTGATTAGTACCCAAGGTCTCTTCCCACTGTATATGTATCCACTTATCTCTCTTCTCCCATGTGGTCCAGTCCGACTACAAAGAGATTAGTCATTTATTCACTAGTGAAACTGAGTAGTGTATATTAAGAATTATGGACTCCAGGCACAGAGTAGCAGAGATGCTGGATAAAGGTAAAAAATCAATGGTTAAGTGAGGCTGCAACCTGAGCAAACACCTTTGGCTACTTATCTAGCTATGTTCTCAAACTCAAGCAGTCAATCAGAAATGCCTCCTTATAAGAAACTGATCATTTTTATCTGGAAAACAATGAATCACACAAACTACTTCCATATGATAGAATATGAGATCTTCCAAAATAAATAAATGAATAATAGCTTGCACTTCAGGTGTACAATCTATGAAACCTATAATCTTCAAGCCAGCATTTTTATGTGGGTGTGTGTGCTGCTCTTCAAGGTGGACAAAAGGACCAAGATAAACAAAAGTATTTGATTGACTCAGAAACCGTGTACGTGCAGAAAACCTTTTAATCTAAAGGAGATCTTTTTATCAAGGATGCAAAACCAGGACACAAGAAAAATAAAAGGGGTAACTATATGAGAAGAAGGAACATTGTGGATGTTAGGAATATGGACACTGAGTTGAAACTTTGGGGGAGAGAGTTTGAGATTATGGCCTTGAAAATGCCATAAGACAGATATGCAATAGGAAAAAAAACTA